AGCCAACTGATCTTTGATAAAGCTGACAAAAACATATGTTGGGGAAAGGACTCCATTTGCAATAAGTAGTCTGGAGCCAAACTTGTAATATCTTTGAAGTATGCCTGTATTTTAATGGAAGACAGAATTTTTAAATCAGAGGAATAAATTTTTAATTTGAGACTACATTAACAAGATCTACGTGACAGAATGGGAGAAGAACAGTGTTTTAGAGACCAAAGAAATAGAATGAAATGTGAGCCAAGATATTTGGGATTTTATAATTTGAGGACAAAAATGGTGAGTTCAGAGAATCAGCATCCCAGCCAGTAAGGAACAGAGGGACTTCAGGGATTGTCATGTAGCCTAAAACAGAAGCAGGGCCCAGCACTGTCATAGGTCTTGGAATTGCTGTGTTCCTGCCACTGACTCTCAGTCCCTCAACTCTAGCCTCTCAATCTCTCTGTCTATGAAAAATACAAGGGGCTGCTATGAAATTATTAAGCACAGCTATCAAGAGCTTGAGAAGAATCAGCCAGGACCAAGAGCAGGATAAGAAATGAATTTGTAAGATTTAAGAATAAGGGTATGTCTATTTTGAAGGACAAGGAATGCATGGTCAAATAACAGAATGAAGTCTCCTTATGAGGTCAATCAGAAACATTCTGAGGCCCAGGGTGTATGTGTGTGTGTGTGCAAGTGTGAGCATGCATTGATGGTGAGCTTGGGCTTGTAGATTTTGGTAACTGGGTGAGCTGGAGGCATAGAGGTCCATGGAGACTTATGTCATTTTTCTGCTGTGTAACTTAGACACAATTACTGGTTTCAATGTGGTTTTAAGCCACTGGACCAGATGGATGGCAAGGGAAATGAGAAAGAAAAAAGTAATTAAGATTCAACTTTCTGCTCTGTGGCCAGATCACCTGAGTGTCAGGATAAAAATGTGTTCCAGGATGTCAATAACCTTATACATTTTGAGTATTTAGATTGTCAGATTAAGTATTGCCATTTCATAGGTGAATAAAGTAAAATATGCATTTCTGTTCCAAATTGTTTGAAGCTTGGAAGCTAAACTAGAATTAGATTCCAATATTCTTGCATCCCAGCCTAGATTCCTTCAAGGTGATAAACAAAATGACAACAAAAGAATATATCAAAACATATTTTTATAAATGTCAGTAAATGTACTCAGAATCTTGTAGTGACATCCAAAATATATATAAACTACATAAAATGTATACATAAGCCAAATATCCCATGGAATATGTCACCAAATAGTAAGGGCCCTAGGAACATTGATAGTGAGCGTTTATTTCACCAGAAATGCATCCATTATCATTCTTTTTCTGCCTCTAACCATTTCATTAATCTACTGCAATAAACATACGGGGAGAGAAAAATATCCCATTACCAATGCCTGCCACGAATCTTGCCAAATGCATCATCCAATATTGGATGTCACATTACAGTCCAATCCAACGAGTAGCAACATGTTTCAAAAATGGTTTGGGAGTGAGCAATCAATATTAACTTGTTGGATCCTAATATATTTTTGTGAACAATCACAAACAGAGCAACTTACTGCAGGGAATTTTTTTCTCTAAGGTTATGGATAAAAAATGGCAACTAGTTTATAAACTCTTCTTATTTTTGCCTAAGAAAGAATGTGGGGTCTACACTGCCAGGGAAAAACCGTTTGTTGGGCTTTAGAGTCCCTTTCTAGATTTCACAATTTCTAAGGCTATTTTTATGGTAAGAATGATAAAGAGATGTTTTAGTATATATGAAGTTTTCAAACGAGAAAGGACAGAAAATGTGAAGAATTACAGTTGTTTACATCATTATTAAATCTATTAAACAGACCAAAATTACACTGGTGTAAATTATAAAGCAAGACTTTTGAGCAATACCCTTTCAATTTCCCAGTTCCTGGACAGAGAGTACCTTGCATGACCTCTATGCTTCATGCTGATACAAAGGATGTCAAGGAATCCTTTTTAAAAAAAAACTCCTGGCATACATAATATTGTACCAACCATTTAAATCAAACAAATAAAAAGTTCAAAAATTCCAATTAAGTTGGTCATTTCTTTTCACTGTATATGTGTGTGTGTTTCTTCCTTGTCCTTGTTCATATGTACTCATCCTTTCCATCAGTCAATAAGCATTTGTCCAGCACCTACTGTAAACCTGCCACTGTTACAGACATTAGGATACTGCAGTGAGCAAGAGAGAAAAAGGTTTGGGTTCTTGTTCTTGTGTGTCTTACATTCTAGCATAAATTCAATAAAAAAAAATCAAAAACATAAAATAAAAGAAACACTTCAGACAGCAGTATTATGCTGAGAATTAAAATATAAGATAATTTATAAATAATCATGGCATAAATTTGACTTGGAGCTCAGCTTTTTCCTATGACATTTTTCAATAAACTTTTATCCCTGTTGCTGTAAAATTTCTACCCCCAAACCAACAAGTATTGATTAATGTATCTATTCAACCATATTTGTTGGGCACTAACTGAATACCAGGCATTATTTTAGGCACTGGGGATACAGGTAAACAAAAAAAGATCTCATAGAACTTACTTGTATTATAGTCTCAAGAATGAAAGATGGAGGCCGGGCGCTGTGGCTCACGCCTGTAATCCTAGCTCTTGGGAGGCCGAGGCGGGCGGATTGCTCAAGGTCAGAGTTCAAAACCAGCCGAGCAAGAGCGAGACCCGTCTCTACTATAAATAGAAAGAAATTAATTGGCCAACTGATATATATATAAAAAATTAGCCGGGCATAGTGGCGCATGCCTGTAGTCCCAGCTACTCCGGAGGCTGAGGCAGAAGGATCACTCGAGCCCAGGAGTTTGAGGTTGCTGTGAGCTAGGCTGACGCCACGGCACTCACTCTAGCCTGGACAACAAAGCGAGACTCTGTCTCAAAAAAAAAAAAAAAAAAAAAAAAGAATGAAAGATGGCAAACAACCAGTGCAGGTAAAAAAGACATTTTCAGCAGAGTTTATTACAAACAACTGAATTTTATGTTAATACCATAAGGTATAAATGTAAATCTATTAAGTATGGAATTTCATCCTCAGTCTGACTAATGTTTTTATTCTCAATATATATTCAATTGGTAAAAACTTCCTAGCTCAAACCTTAGTCTATATAATGAGATTTATTGGCTTGGTTAATAACATTATGGCTATTCTTTTGACTGGTTTCTTAATATTTCAGTGAGTTATTATCTTACCTGATTCCATATTCTCTTGTTATTGGCCATATTTTTCTTTAACACCTCCTCATCTCCTCACTCCTACTCATACACACGCACTTGGGGTTATTATAAATAACACCATAAATGTTTTCTCCTTGTCCCATTCCTTGTATCTCCATCAAAAGCAAATGCCATCTTGAATGTTGTGTATTAGTCACTTACATAGCTTAAAAATCTTTATCACAGGCCGAGTGCGGTGGCTCATGCCTATAATCCTAGCTTTCTGGGAGGCCGAGGTGACAGGATTGCTCAAGGTCAGGAGTTCGAAACCAGCCTGAGCAAGAGCGAGACCCCGTCTCTACTAAAAATAGAAACAACTAATTGGCCAACTAAAAATATATATGGAAAAAATTAGCCAGGCATGTTGGTACATGCCTGTAGTCCGAGCTACTCGGGAGACTGAAGCAGGAGAATCTCTTGAGCCCAGGAGTTTGAGATTGCTGTGAGCTAGGCTGACGACGCCATGGCACTCTAGTCCAGGCAACAAAAAGTGAGACTCTGACTCAAAAAAAAAAAAAAAAAATCTCTATCACATATGATGCCTAAACCATATGGTATTTGGATATACTTATTTTTAAATTAAAAAAAAAATCACATCATATGTTGTCACCTGATATTCATTTTTTGACTCAACATAATATTATTATGATTCATTCATGCTATTGTTGGACATGGCTGTCATTCACTCATATTTTCATTGCTCTATATTATATGAATATACTATCATTTATCTATCTTCCTGACTATGGCCATTTAGATTATTTAAAGTTTTTGCTATATCAACAGTATTTCTTCTCAATATTTGTATACATATTTCCTACAAATATGTACTAATTTTGGAGGAGGTATATATCTAGGAATAGAATTGTTGGATTGCAAGTATGCACATGTTCAGCTTGCCAAAATATGGTGCAAATTGATGATATCAATTTATACTATCACCAGTGACATTTAAGAAATTATGTTGATAGAATGTTGTATAAATCCTATCCAATGTTTGGCAACCAGACTTCTTAGTTTTCAATAATTGATTTCATGTAAAATGGTTTTCTGATTCTAATCTTCATTTACATTTCCTGATTACTGGAGAGACTGAACATTTCTTTAAATGTTTCTAGATACTTGCGTTTCATATTTTGTGATGTGCCCTTTTTGCTCATTTTCTATTTTTTAATCTTTTTTGTTATTGATTTGTAGGCATCTTTATATATTCTTGATACAAAATTTTGTTAATCATATATTCCTGATCCTTTTAAAAATTATGTGTGTAGCAAATGTCTTCACACAGATTATAGCTTAGTTTTTGCTTTATTAATACTTTCTTTAAGGTATCATTTGACAAACATAGGTTTCTTAATTTTATTCTAATTTTTAAGTCTTTTTTTATGGTTAATACCATAAGCCTCTTTGTGAAGCCCTTCCCTACTCCAAAGCAAGAAGAAATTCACTTTTATTTTATCACGTTTTAATGTTTTTCTTTTGACATAAATATCTTACATTGCATAGAGTTTATTTTGTGTATTGTGCAAGGCAGGGGTACATTTTAATGCTTTTTTCTCTGATTAAAAAACAGATCTGAACTTAGATCTGTTTTGTTCACAAATGTATTCCCAGCACCTACAACAATGCTCTAAACATGATAGATGCTTTGTGAATATTTGTTAATGATTATGAACAAAGCACATAGATGTTCTTAAATATATGAGTTGGATGAATAAATGGGGCCCCAAGGGACCCAAGGTTTATACTCAACGTTTTTTGGCATCTGTCCCACTGGAGGTCCAGGAATAGTTGAAGCCTTGTGTAGTCACATTGGAATTGCTTGCTGAAAGACAAAATTATTTTCAGAATAAAACACTAGTTATAGGTCCATTTGCTGAACAGTCCCCTTCTTTTCACAATAATCTGCTCTGCCTTTGACAGGCACCTAAGTTTCATTTATTTGTGTATCTCCTTTTATAGTTTCTCTCTTGAATACTGCCTTTTCAGTTCTTTGGGTACTTGAGTTCACAAGTGTCTATTATATGATTAAGATATATATTAAAAGAAATATGTTAAATTTTAGAGGTCACGCACCGACTACTGATGAAAGTGTGTCTTGAATTAAAGATTATGATTAATCCCAATCTGTGTATCTGAGGTGCAGCAAAGAGATAAAGTAAATAATATTACAAAGAATGGTATTATACACATTCTTTTTTGCTCTTTATTTCTTAAGGATAAGTTCCCAGTAGTGAGATGACTGAACCAGCTGGTTTAAAAGACTTTTAAATGTTTAAAATGTACTACTTTGGAAATGCTTTCCAAAAGGACATTCACATGTACTTTTTGTGGCAAAGAGCCTAGCAGTTAATTCAGAGTTCTGGATACCCGTGTGGCACCAGCAGCCTCTTTCTTTTGCTCTAGCCACCTTCCTTCCACTTCCCCACTACATTGATTTTTTTTTAATGTATATTTCATTTATTTATATACTTCATCTGGACTTCTTACAGTCAGATTCTTTTTTTTTAATTTCAAGAAAATATGAGAGCACAAACATTTTGGTTGAATTTTATATCTTTGCCTCTCCTAGCAAGGGTTAGAGGTATGCCCTTGTTTCCACAATGCTCACCACTTCCCTCACATGTGGGTCTACCCCCTAACCCCCAAATCCCTGGTGAACACCCACTGATCTTTGTCTCTACCACTAAGAGTCAGTATATTTCTTTTCAGCTCCTGTCCATACCTGCTAAAACAGCACCCACAGACTGCTGTTAGTTGGCCAGATTAAAAGAAACAATAAAACCATTTCTGTACCACACATCAGGCTCCCTCTTTGCATTTTTATTAGTTACATGCATATTTTGGCTAGTTTGCTCTTTCCCCAGATATACTCACAGCTTGCTCTTTCAGCTTCATTGGTAATATCTTTGCTGAAATATCACCTTCCTTGGTAGGACCTTTCAAGACCACCCATTTTAAATAGTACCCACCTCTGCTCTTGATTCTCCCTTTCTCCTCCACCACTTGGCTGCCTCCGTATTACTTATCTTACCTATCACCACTTGTCTGTTTCCCCTTCAGAATTTGGGACTTAGATCTGTTTTGTTCACAAATGTTACCCAGCACCTAGACAGTACTTAAACATGATAGACACTTTTTTAATGCTTGTGAATGATTATGAACAAAGCACATAGATGTGGTTCAATATATGGGTCAGACAAAATAAATGTAGCCCAGAGGACTCCAAGAGACCCATGGTTATACTCAACATTTTTTGGCATCTGTCCCACTGGAGGTCCAGGAATAGTTGAAGCCTTGTGTAGTCACATTGGAATTGCTTGCTGAAAGACAAAATTATTTTCAGAATCCAACTTTTTTAGAAAGCTCTAATTTAACTTTGCTTTGATGCACTGAATTTTTAATCTTTGTGACTCTGGGGAAATCTGAAATTGCAAATGTTCCCTATTCAGGAACACTTTTGCATATTAAGCAAAAGTGGTGTAGTTTATGTTTAATGCCAACTTGTCATTGATTTGCTTTCTTTTTCTCTTCTTGTCAACTCAGATCACTGAGAGTATTGGGAAGATTACTTAAATATTGTCTTAAAATCCCTTTATATATGAAAGATACAATATAACAACAAATCACCGACTCTTATTTTTAAGATTATGGGGACTGTCACTTAAATGTATTGTCACTACAGAGTAACTTAAAACCAAAATATCAACATCAAATGAAAAATATAACCTTTGCTCAAACCTCAACATCATAGAAGCTGTAGTAAAACTTGTGCATGTTGTCTCTTTTGAATTGTAGGAGGAAAGCCTTTTTGTACTTACTTTGAGGTGCGGTGTTTGGCCTTTGTGTATTCATATCTACCAGGGCCTCTGAAAATGTAGCTGGATATCCTATTTTGAAAACAAAATTCACAAATTGTTATAGATATTTACATTCACATGTTTAACTATGCCATTAGATTTGACAAGAGCAAGGATTATTAGAGTTAGAAAGAATCTTAGTAAATATATACTCTAAAAGCCTTATTTTATAAATGCTGAAACTGAATCCAAAAGGTATTGTCTTGTGGTTACATAACTGATATATAACATCATTTCTTTGCTATTCACCAAGTTCTCTTAACTCCAAATATATTATATTCACATTTTCTAAATATATTGTTTTAACATCTACTGTGTGCCAGATTCTATTCTACATGCTGGGGATATGGCAATAAACAATGAACCTGCTCTCATGAAACTTACCTTATAGTGAATTCTCACAATAGCATATAACATTTTTACACACTAAATATGATTTCATATTTACTTCAATTGTTAGCTTACAGAGTCATCTTTGTCTTCATAATCCATCATTTCCCATTCTCTTCCTCCCTGTCTACCACCTAAAATGAAAGACTAGTTCATACTCCTTTGAAAATATCTCTGGAGATGAAGCAAGGTAGATTAAAGAAGAAAAATACCCAAACACTGTAGTGAAATCATGTTTATGTCTCTTGGAAAGACAAATTTTTACATACTATATTTTTGTGTATTTCTCTGCTATTCCAAAACGTATTTAACATGCCTTACAGAAATAAGTAATACAAGAATATAAAAGCAGTGGATAGAAAAGGAAAATAAGGACAAGGAAAATGTAGCTAGAAAAAGTATGTTGAGTCCTGTTGAAACCTGAGTGGCAATAATACATAAAGTGCATTTCTTGATGTCCTGTGCTTTTAGTAGATGTAAACCTCACATTTGATCTGAACTTAGTAGTAGTAAATGCTAAGAAATAAAGATTATAGGTCATGTGATTGATGGACATCATAAGCTAAAAGCAGTCAATTTTCAGGAGAAACAGCTATTCTTTTTATTGTGATTCAAGAGAATTTTTCTCCAGATATTTATAAAAAGAATGCACATATTTTCAATCCCTGAGATTCTTTCTTCTGTTTGACAATTGCAAAGATGTGGAAACAACCCAAGTGCCCAATCCATGAGTGTATTAATAAAATGTGATATATGTATACCATGGAGTTCTACTCAACCACAAAAAACAATGGAGATCTAGCACCTCTTATATTCTCCTGGACAGAGCTGGAGCCCATTCTACTAAGGGAAGTATCACAAGAATGGAAAAACAAGCACCACATGTACTCACCAACAAATTGGTATTAACTGATCAACATTATGTGCACATATAGTAATAACATTCATCAGGTGTCAGGAAGGTGGGAGAGGGTAGGAGGGGATGGGTATATTCACACCTAATGGGTGTGGTGCTCACTATCTGGGGGATGGACATGCTTGAAGCTCTGACTCAGGTAGGGCAAAGGGAACTTATGTAACCTAAACATTTGTACCCCATAATATACTGAAACAGAAAGAAAGAAAGAAAGAAAGAAAGAAAGAAAGAAAGAAAGAAAGAAAGAAAGAAAGAAAGAAAGAAGAAAGGAAAGAAAGAAAGAAAAAGAATGTATATAATGTGTATGATATCCTCTACAATATCCTACAGTATCATAGTCCGTATGTTCACTCATGCTGAAGCTTTAGTTATTAATAATAATGAATAGCTTCCAAGCTTCCTGGGTTACCTCAGTTATGGGAAAGGGCATGCCTTAAATATAGAACAGAGGTAATCAACTCAAATAAATAAATTGGTATTGTGGTTTATGCATCCACAAGTGATTCCCATCCAGAGATGATCAACAATAATCGTATCTGCAATGCAGCCTACCAATGAACTCCAATGAGATATACTACACTATGGCTCCATGATTAAAAAAGCCTACATATAAAGTACTTAAAAGAATGTCTGGCATGTGGGCAATGCTAAAAAGTGTATCTTAGAAGCTGTAATACAAGCCATCTGCAGTTTAGTTCAGGTGTTGATAATACAAGAATGTTCTAGCAACAAGCCACTTAAATCTCTTCATGAGTTCCACAGTTGTCCCATTCCCTTGGTCTTTCTAGAAGGATGTTGATGTAAGGTAACCAATCCTTTCTTCCCTAGACTGGCTCAAGTCAAGAACTACATTCCAAAGGATTGTACCGGATAGGGGCTTAATTGTCAGGGGTGAAGAGAATGACAAAACAGTTGACTGCAGCGTCAGTTTTATGGTGGGATAGTAACTTCTCATGGCAGAGTCACCAAAGAGAATTCTCCTCCTCTGTCACCCCACTGAGCCAACAGTAGAGGATTCTTGTGCAGCAATTATAACTTCTGTAACGCCTCCCACCATTCACCAGAGGCTCTATTGAGAGAAGTTCACAAGATTGCCTACCTAAAGAATATGATGCATTTGTAGACTAAGTCTAGATTGCCTTGAACAGAAGGCCTCTTATAGCTTCTGCTTCTGCCTCTGCCTCTCTCGCCCCATCAACTTTTAGCTTCCTATCATAAGGCTACTCAGACTTCAAGCCATAACCAGATGTCTTTTTCTTTAGGGAGCCTGTCTATTTTTGGGAGGGAAGGGAGGAGCCTGTCTCTTGCTATCAACTCTACCTCATACTAACTAGACAATCACAGTCTAATACCTGGGATGCTGGGAAAATTTGCTTGCGCTGTGCTCCACCACGCCCTCTACAGGAGGGCCCAGGAAGTCTCTGCATTAAGGGCAGCTGCACTTCTGGACAACTGGATTGTCATTTTAAGAAACCTACTGGCCGGGCACAGTGGCTCATGCCTGTAATCCTAGCACTCTGGGAGGCCGAGGCGGGCGGATTGCTCAAGGTCAGGAGTTCTAAATCAGCCTGAGCAAGAGCAAGACCCCGTCTTACTATAAATAGAAAGAAATTAATTGGCCAACTAATATATATAGAAAAAATTAGCCGGGCATGGAGGCGTATGCCTGTAGTCCCAGCTACTCGGGAGGCTGAGGCAGTAGGATCGCTTGAGCCCAGGAGTTTGAGGTTGCTGTGAGCTAGGCTGATGCCACAGCACTCACTCTAGCCTGGGCAACAAAGTGAGACTCTGTCTCAAAAAAAAAAAAAAAAAAAAAGAAACCTATTGATCACAGAGTGAATTTGAATTTTATTTCTCTCATTGAGTTGCCTTTACCTTTGTCTCTCTCTGCAGCAATTTATTCAGCTAATTCTTTTTAAATGTTTGTATTGTGTATTTTTAAAGTTACCTCATATCCTTTTTGGGACAAGACAATGTAAAGAAAATGCATAGAGGAAAATAAACAACTAGTCATAGGTCATGTTCGAACACTGTGAGATGCTGAGAGTTATGATGTGCTCTTCCTAATTAAAATAGAAAGATGGTTCTTTCCTCCTCTCTCCTCTGCCTTCTCTCTCACTTTGAGAACTGACACCCAAAAGTATTTACTCGGAGACTTAGTAAATAAAAGTAAAGGAATGGTTTTAATAGTCATAATATGATAACAATGGTCATGATGATGATGGAAAAGATCTAGGAAACAGACATTAGAGAACTTCATATTTATTTGCAAACTAACTACCATTGCATAGAAATTTCAGTCCAATAAGCAACTGACAGCAGTTTTAAAATCTCTTTTAAAATATCTCTTGCCTGCAAGAAACAGACATTTTCCTTCGCCTGTTTGGTCTCCCATGCTGGGGCCTGACACTGACTGGGGCCATGTGATTTAATTCTGGCAGGAATCATCAGAATCCTGATGAAGTATAACTTGGCTGGGAATTCCGTTTATATTAAAATGACTGATTAAATGCTCTCTTCTGGAGGTCAGAAAATAATGCAACATAAATTCTTTCTCAAGGTTTACTGCAGGGGAAGAATTCATTCATTCGATTCCACCTAACACGTTCAAGGACCATGTTGTTGGAGAGGCGCGACTCAGGTGTGCATGCTGCGTTAATTCTTGTGTTACTATGTCTCTACCCCCAGGTGCACATCTGTGTTGCTTTACCCGACTTCTCACAGACAGGACTGTGGAGTTCACGGAAGGCTAAATACATGCCAAAGGCTGGGAACAAAAGGATCAATGATGCCTGGACTCTATCTCCAGGGAACAGGAGTTTTTTTGGTTTCTAGCTGAATGTTATTAGGCCTTGTCCTGAAGGTCTGAACCAATTTGCATAGGTTATTGAAAGACCGATCCCTTTACTATGGGACCTTATTCATCAGGTAGAAGTCAGAGTTGAAGCCACTTAGAAAACTATGTAGTTCCTAGGTAAATTAAATCCACACCCTCCCTCCCACTTTACAACATAGTTCAAGGTTAAGGCCCCTTCACTGTCCATGACCTGACCTCTAACAATCTCCACATCATCCTCTCTTGCTATTACATATTCTTTTATTTGTTCAACTAACCTTTGGGAGCCTCTGTCTTCCAGGCATTGTGCTTGGCATTGGGGATACTGCTTTTCTGCAGTTTAAGTTCATAGAGAAGATGAACTTCAACCAGAGAATCACATATGTCGGTCCAAATACGAGAACACATGAATGAGGAAGATGGCCTCGTTGGAGTCCCAGGAAGGCTTTCCTGAGGATTGCAGTGGGAGAATGGGGCCAGGGGAGGGAAGTGGGAGCTTTCAGGCAGGGGCTTAGTCAGTGCAAAGGCCCTGTAGGTGGTCTCACACACCGCGGGTTAGTGATAGTCATATGTGGCACCTGTCCATTCTAGGGCTGAGCCTTTACAGACCCTCAGGAGTGTTTGATCTTGCTGCCTGTCTCAGTGCACACCCACGGCATCAGCAGCAGCAGGAGAACAGTGGTCAAACTGTGGCATGCTGGTGCAGCAACACTGCTTATTTCTCAGCTTCGTTTTTGAAAGAAACTCCTTCCTAGAACCTGACCTGGAGATTCTGTAACTATAAGAGAACATATCTGACTGTCTCTTGAGAGCAACTATGACATTTTAAAATAGTTTTATTTGCATTACTCGTAGCCAAGTTTTTGAAAGATTCGTACTAATCGTATGTTCCAGCATGTGAATAGGACAGCTTGCTTTGTGTTTTTGCTGTTTCAAGGCTAAGTTTATACTTCACAACACAGCAAACCTCTTCAATATTCAATAGTAAGTTCTGTATTATGCACATTATGTAGGTAATATGCCAAAGCCACGATAGAGAGTTGCTTGCTTTGTCTGCTGGTTGTTTATTCCTCCCTCAATGTGACTGTTTATTGTTATTAAATCTTGCAAGTATCCAGAGATACATTATAATGACCCTTGTTTCCAGGAAAGAAGAAGGGGCTTAGGAGGAAGCTCTATTTCATACAATACAATATGTCTTGGTTATTATAGTTTAGAAATGGTCATGGGGTTTGATGAGCAGGTTTGAAACCTTCTTAGCCCATTTCTACTTTAACTCTTAAAAAAAATTCTCACTAAAATTGAAAACCACCTCTTTATACTATCACTAGAAATTCAGTTAAGTAGAAGACAGCACAGTGCAGAGTTGAATGGCAGCAACAGAAACATGTTCTAGAAGAGCTACCGTGTTTCCCCCAAAATAAGACAGAGTCTTATATTTATTTTTCCTCAAGAAGACACCCTAGCGCTTATTTTCAGGGGATGTGTTATTTTTTTAAGTATATATATATATACTTATATATATATTTTTTAAGTATTTTTTTAAGTTATTTTTTTTAAGTATGGTACAACAATCTATATTTATTTAAATATAGTCAAGTCATCTTCTTCTGGAAAATCATCATAACTCTCCAAACCTGAATTTCTTGCGACTCTATTTCCTTTAGAACCATTGGCCCCAATCTCTCATGTCAAGCAATAGAGTTCTCATGGGGCAGATGAGAAGGGCTGCTGGTCTTTACCACTCTGCGACGAAATGTGTGGGTTGTGCAGATACGCTGCGTAGCCACGACTAGGTCTTATTTTCGGGGTAGGGCTTATATTGCACAAATGCTTAGAAATCCTGCTAGGGCTTATTTTATGAGTAGGTCTTAATGTTGAGGAAACACAGTAATTCTGAATTAGTAGAACCAAATCTCTTAATCTATACTCTTGCCCATCTTCCAGGGACGGATCATTTAACTACTGGAGAAGGGAGAAGCAGGCAAAGGCTAGAGGTCCCATGGCTAGCTAACTTTTGGAAATATAGAAATATTTTCCAAACTATTTAGATTTTAAGGATAATTTAATATAGACCTACTATGTGCCAAATGAAAGAGACACGTGAATGAAGTGAAGGGAATAAGGCATAAAATGGACACTTAAAAAAAAAAAAAGAAATGATGATTTGATCATTGTTTCTCCCTTCAAGGAATTAAAAAATATAAATAAAGATCTTGAGTTATTTTGAGATTGATGTTTATCTGTTTAGCTCTTTTATTGATCTAGGCATTCCTTCTCAAAAGGGACCTTGTGGGTCTTAGCTGAATAGTTGCTCTTCATGCATTTTCACTTTTGATACTCACAGTATCCATATGAACTAGATAACATGACTCCCATTTTTTTTTAAGATAAGCACACAGTATCAGAGAGGTGAAATGTTTTGCCCCAGGCTACAGAGTTGGTAGGTGGCAGAGACAAGAACTGAACCCACACCTGTTTGACACTGAAGACCAAACTCATTCCACTCTGCTGGGCGTATCAAGTGTGGTAGCCTTGCTGCAGCATGCAGCAGCACAGCCAGGGCCTGGCCCCTGAAGAGCCCGCTTGTGGCCCCCAGCACACAACCACCAGGAACAGAAGGCCTCTGATAGCCTCTTCCTCTGCCTCTCTCCCGTCAGCACCTCTCAGCTTCCTGTCGTAAGGCCCCCCAGCCCTCAAGCCCTAACTCGATGCCTTTTTCTTTAGGGAGTCTTCTTTGGCCAATGCTTTTAGAACTCTGCGTTTCTTTTCTGCTTATCACACTGTTGCCAAGCACTGCTGCTTTCTGTGGATTATCTCAGTGGGTAGACCATCACCTCATCATGTTTGCTTCATTTTCACTGAATTTCTTTTAACTCTACATTTTGATGGATAGCGCAGAGCAGAATTTTCAAATGGAATTCCTTGAGGAGGAATCAGATGAGGTCTCAAAGGTTAAGAACCACATTACAAGGCAAGATGAGCCTCACTTTGAAAACAAGGTTCTATGTGAGCCAGTGTGGAATGGAGTCTGTCAGCTCTGGTCCACCATCGACTTCACAGCTGTAAGAAGGATGCAACAGCCCACGTGAGGATTTCTTTGAAGAGAGTTATCAGGATCCTGTGAATTTGGCCCCCACGGGGGAAGGGAAAAGAATCTGCTCCTCCCCTTAGCCCAAGTGAAGTGTGGTTTCCAGAGAGCCACTCAGAGCTCTTGGCCTGTGTGTCCTGGAGTTTAGGACAAAGGGAACAAGTGCCTGATTCAGGCTGATGAGGCTATTAGGAGTCCATGGTTGGTCAGCAGCTCTGAACAGAGAATAAAGGCAGCGCCACACTGCAGTAGAGGAGCTTTCCCCCAAACAGGAGGCAAAGGTGTGTATATTCCCGGACAAAACAGGATGCCATGAAAAGACTTTTGCTTAGGAAGAACACTGAGAAGAGCAAAGAAGCCCCCAGAGGAGCTGACCTTCAGAAGTTCAGTGGCTGTGTGTTGGAAGTAAACGGAAGACCAGAAGAGAGGCATGGCCTGCACCCAGGGGACAGCAGTCACAGGACAGGCAGGGATTTCTGAGCAATCTGCCAAAGTGCCTGTGAGGTCAAGATGGCAATTTCTATTCTCCTCCTCCAGGGGGCACCTAAGTCAGATTACAGAAGCCTGTGGGCTTTCCTTACCTACGGCTCCCTTTTCTCCCTGCTCCATGTCCCCCAAAGGGGTGGCGGGGGGCGGGGGGGCTAGCCAGCAACTAGGAGTAAAGAGGAGAATGGAGCCAGGCCAGGAACCACAGACATCCCCCCTCTTGCCCACACCCACTTCACACAGACCAGCCTTTTGAAGCTGAGGTAGACTCTCACTGTGGGGAGAGGAAAAGAAAGAAGTTTTGGACTGAATTAACTTTTGGAAGTTTTGACATTACATTTGACAAGGCTTTTTAATTATTGACATAAGTCTGTTCTTGTGGCTGAAAAGGACCAGACAACATTAATTATATGAAAGTCACCAAAAAAGTCATATAATCTGTCTGAAATTTCTTTCAGAGGTGCAGAAGAAATTATTGAGTAGAACTCACTTGAACAGAAAACGATGGAGACAAGTAGAATTAATTTTTTTTTTTGCTAACCTCCCATTCCAGCTTATTTAATCGACAAAGTACAAAGGTAGAAGTTATTTGTAAGTTTGAACTGCTGTTTGAGTGATCAGAATCAACTATCTAAATACTTCGCCTTATTCCTGTGTAAAACTGAACCTGAAAATTTAACTTATTTTCTCAAATAGCAATATTTTCTCTTAGCCTTCCACTCCATCAACAACAGCATCCATCAGCATTGCAGAAACTCAGACTTATCTCCCTAGACTCCTTGACAAATGTGTAATTGCTCTCCATCAATCTCCCTGCAGCACAGAGAGCCTTTAGAAACAGTAGTGACATTAACTGGAGAATTGCACTTAAGAGAATACAGGCCATCACCCACATCTAAGCACGTTCAAATCAACCTCATCAATCCTCACGGTCAGGATAAGGTGGACACTGACCTTCAGCCCGGCCTGAAGGAGACATGTGGAGTGGAATCCTAATCTCTGCACAAAACTGTTTTCATGTGGGAAGCAGATTGCTTGGGACACGTGCTGACTGAATTGGTAAGAGGTATGTGTATTGCCAGATTACTGGTCCAGAAAGGATTTCAGGACTCCCTTGGGGAAGATGATAGCAGGACAGCGCTCATCATGCATCATGTGGCAAGTCTATAAACACTCAATAATTGTGAGATAAACCGAAAAATAGGTCATCTGGTAGCTTTCCCCCAAAGGAACCTTACCCACAGGGGAAAAACTGAATAAACAAATACCCAAAGTAAACCAGTCATCAAGAAGGCTAACCTTGACTTATGGCTGACAGGTATTAACAAAAATTAGAGAATTTTTAATAATCTATAATGTGTGCCCCAGAGGAAAGCTGATGCAAAAGATACAATGAACAGAATAACCAAGGATTCAAGGGAGAGTACGGGAGTTTTTTACAGATTCTGTAGACTCATATCTACAATAAGAATTTTATAATAATAGTGCTGATGGGGGAGGGGTAATGAATGAGAGTCCTTTCCTCTGATTTATTTCCTACTGGGAAAATATTAGTTTCACTTTTGGAGGCTGCATGTCTCAGGAAAGCACTGGTCGAGAGAAGGCAGAGATTAATATAGGCATAGCTGTCATGTGTGACCTTTCCACAGGAGCTATCACAGCTTCACGCTAGCAGGGATTTATTCAGTGTCTCAAGGCGTTTACTGAGCACCAGCTATGCACCGTCAGAGGTGGTAGGACTCAAGATCTGAAGTCTGACTGTCTGGGTTCCACCCCGGCTCTTCTACTTTCTGCATGACTGTGGGTAAGTTACTTCTTTGTGCTTTAGTGCCTTCATCTGTAAAGTATGATAATAATAGTACCTAAGTTATTGTGTTGTTGGGAGGGTTAAATGAGATAATAGACTTGCTAATTTAGGACAGTCCAGGCACATTGGAGGCACTCAGTAAATATTAATATTTTTGCTTAGTATTATAATACAATCATGATGTTTGGTAAAAAATTTTAAGTAATTGTTAGGAAAAAAAATTAGAAGGCACGTGTATGTTAGCTTAAAAACTTTTTCGCTATCTTCCTTATTTAGGCAGACAATCTGGTGAGTTTTCTGTCACAGTACTCTCCACTGATACCTATGCCCATCCTAGTTCAGACCATCATCAATCGAAATCGCTTTAGATCTATTGTACATCATTTGTCTTCTTTCTCCCTGCTCTTGCAGCTATCACTTACCATACCACATCTTCTGTTTTACTCGCATATTCCCACATTCTGAACAAGCCAAAGTGGGTAAAAAAGTCCCGATCCATAGCCCATTAATTGAAGCTCATGTCATCTGGTTCCACCTCACCTAGGCAAACTTACAGCCCTCTCCACAACAAGCAAAGGCAGCCCTCCTCCTGCTTGTCTTCTCATATCCTGCACTCATTTTATTTTACTCCTTTGCTTAAGACAATACTTTGAAGATCCATCTTCTGTCTTTCTTCCACCTGAGTCAATAATTCCTTCCAGACACCTGTGCAGACTTCCTTGATTCCACTCCTCTGTCCCCAGCACTAATGAATTTCTTATTTTTCAGTAGCCAGATACATGTGACAAAGGCAGAAACTATTGATCAGCAACTAAGGTGTCCTGCTGGCATTTGAAGACAGGCATGGCATGACTAGCAAAAGGGTCAGCAGTTGCTGTCACAAACAAATTACCAGCATCTTCTGGCTGCCTTGCAGGCTTTCTCTGGGATCCCCCTCTTAACTTTAGAACCCAATATCTTGACCTCCTGCTGATCTTCTGCTTTGCTTACTCCAAATCTCATCCAATGGTATGTCTTCCAGATTGATCTCCTGCCCATTACTGACATGCTTACTCATAAATCACTAATTTTGTTGCATCCCCCTGGGCAGCCTCTTCCTTTACACTGTGCCTCTCAATGTCTGATCACCCACTGGCCAAGGAGCAGCTGTGTCCATCTAGGGATGTGGCCAAGAGTTAGTGTCAGAATGGACCTGGTATTTTACTCCAAGTATTTAGAGATAGAAAGACTCACAGGATCTACTGTGAGGACCAGCTGAGTTATTAGAAAGGGCTTAGTATTAAAATCAACATGATCGTGTCTAAGGGTCATGTGCAGAGATAAAAATAGGAGGAAGAGCCAAAGGGGCTATGGCCTGGTGGGCAGTAAAAATGGGAGGCAAGGCAAGCGGGTCATGCAGGATTGCATGTTCTGTGCAGCAAGAGCTTGGTCTGTCTTGCTCAACATTGGATCCCAGCACCCCCACCCCCCAAATCCCCTGCACATTGTAGGCACTCAGTATTTATTTGTTGAATGAATAAATGTCTTGGATGATTGCCACAACCAGGCATTTCTGAGGCCTGTTCTCTCAGGCTACATAACTAGTAGCCAAGTCACAGCCAGTCAATGGAAAGGCACGGGGCTCTCTTGCCAGGGCAACAGAAGCCCCGCCCTAGATTTGTCAGGTGTCTCTGATTGTTCCGTGGGGGCTTGTCTCATCTTGCTGCTTGCCTTGTCAGCCTCCTGTCTTTTCCTAGAACAGTGCTGGGCATGCAGCTGGGATTCAGCAAACACAAATTGGTTCTGGTTGAATTGAGCCATGCTTCCCTGGGTAACTCTTAGAGCTTGTTATGAGTTATAGAGTTCTCCTCTGCTAGTTAAGGAATATTGCTTTTGTGACCTCCTACATTTGTTTAAAAAATATCCTTTCATTGAGGGAAAAAGAATAAGAATTGGATGCTTGCAGCCAGATATGCAGCTTAATAATTATGACTGAATTACGAAGTTCATTACATCGTAGAATTTGGAATGAAACCATAGCCTTTGAAGTTGGTTTCCACGACATGCTCCATCTTGCTCCCTTACATAAAAGACCATGTGAAAGTGAATCCTACCAGCTTCTGAAACAGTGAATCATCGTGTGATTTCACAATTACCTTCCAGTGTGCCAAGACAAAATTTAGATTTTTCAGTAATAATTCAGAGATTATTCTAAGAAGATAAGTTTTATTTAGATATAATCAGCCATTGATTTAACATGTTTTTTTGACATACAGAAATCAGACAGAAAATTGTTCCAAATATAATCTATTGTTACCATCTTGACAGAGGTCCAGATTTGATTTTGTAAAGTGAGAGATATCTACTCTAATTACACCTGAGCCTTGATCTAAAACAGGGTATTTCAACCTCACCACTATTGGCATTTTGGACCAGATAATTCTGTGTTGAGAGGGCTGTTCTGCCCTGTGTTTTAAAGTGTTTAGCAGCATTCTTGGTCCTACCCACTAGGTGCCAGTAGCATCCTCCCACTCTTATCGTGACACCAAAAATGTTTTCAGACACTGTAAAATTTCCTCTGGGGGGCAAAATCACCTTGGTTAAGAAACACTGATCTAAAACAGTCTTTGAATCCAATGCAGTGGGACCTTATTTTAAAAAGGTCTTTTGATTCTCCAGAAACTTTCCAACTATATCATCTTAGTGTGATAGTAGATTGGGTAGCATTTTTCCCTGTTTTTCAACAAATATATTTACTTGGATGTGCTTTCTTTCTTTCTTTAATATTAGACCTATACTAAATTGTGGGCTCCTTAAGGGTAGCAACTGTGCTTTCTCTTGCTTTGGATTTCTTCACAGAAGTAAGAATTTGGTCTGACATAAGCACTTAATGTATGCAGATTAACCCCATAAAATTCAAATAGAAGAAATTTATATCTGTTTTGAACTCATAGAATGTAAATGCCATGAAGGATTTTTTTTTTTTCAGTTTTGTTCCCTGTTGTATTCCCAGCACCTAGAAGAGTACTGATATATGGCAGATGCTCGATAAACATTTGGTGAATGAATTATATCACTTTCATTCTAAAAAACATTTAATGGGGTCTCTGACCCATTTTCTAAAAAGTAACATTTAGAGTCCTTAAGTTGGGGCTTAAGGCTTTCTTTATTTTTTTAATTGTCTGTGGCATTTTTATAATAGAAAAATGGAAACAAGTGTCCATTAATATGGTATTAGTTACATAAATTACAGCAGATCTATGCAGCTGTTAAACTAAAAGAGGAATGTACTTTATGTACTGATTTGGAAAGATTGACCAAGATATATTGTTAAATAAAAATAGGTAAAAAACAATGAATATTGTATGCCACCATTTTTGTAAAAGAGGGGGAAATGGAATATATGTACAATATTTGCTCCCATGTAAATGAAATATCACTTGAAGCATACACATTAATTACAGTGGTTGTCAAGGCTCCCTTTATTCTGCATTTTCCAATTTTCATCCCTGCTTCTCTGATATAGAATCCCACCTCTTTGACCCAAGCTTATCTATTGATGTTTTCTCAAGTGCCCATGAACATCCTTGTTAATGCACAACTGCTCACTTTGTTTTCTCTGTTTAAAGTGTTCTTACAAGCTCTCCACAGAGTCAAATAAATACAATACACATTTTAAAGATCAGGTTATTTCATCTCTCTTAGGCAACATTTTCTGACCTCATGAACTTTCCCTAACTCAAAGCCTAACACTTACTGGTCTATACCTCTCCCTGGGCATTTTAATTCTATAAGGTATTACACCTTTCACATTACTATTTTGAATTATTATTTTCATGTGTGTATGTCATTTCTTCCAAGTAGACTGCTACCTTTCTGAAGCCAGAAATAAATTGTTATCTTTTATTAACACCATAGAGTCTATTAAATGACATTTACAAAATGAAAGAACGTTATTCTCATTAATTCCTTGATTTATTCAGTTATTCAACTAATATTTTTTGACTGCCTACTCTGTGCTAGGTATGTGCTAGGAGGCGAAACAAATGTGCTCCCCATCCTTATGAAGTGTTTAGACCAATTGGAGAAAAAAAATGGTATCTAATGAGGTGAGAACTAGATTTAGAGTCAGAAGATTTTGGTATAAATATTAATAACCCTGTCATTAACTAGGTGTAAGATGATTTAAGCTCTCAGTGTCACAGTGTTCCCATCTGGAAAGTAGGAATGATAATGCTTGCTCTGTCTACTACTCAAGGTAAAGAAGATCAAACTACATCTCATTTTTTGTGTAAACACTTCTAAATGACAGGGAATGGTGATTTCAACTTGTCCACAAATTCTTTGGTACTCTTCTCTCTAAGACATGGAGCTTACTTTTCCTCTCCTTGAATATAAGCTGAACCTGGTGACTTACTTGTAATAGACAAAATAAAGCAGAAGTGATAGCATGCAATTTTGAAGACAATTTTGGAGTCATAGAAAGGTACCACGGCTATTGTCATAGTCACTCTGTTTCTTGAATTACTCTGTCTAGGGGAAGCTAGTTGCCATATTGTAAGCAGACCTATCAAGAGGCTCATGAGGTGAGGAACTGACATCTCCTACCAACATACTTGAGCTTAGAAACAAATCCTTTAGCTACAGTCGAGCTTTTAGATGACTGAAGCTCCAGCCAACAGCTTGACTACACCTCATGAAAGAACCTGGGTTTCCACCATTCATCTAAGCCACTCCTGGACTTCTCATCCCCAGAAACAACATATGTTTTATAAGTTGCTAAATTTGTAGGCAATTTTTTATGCAGCCATGGATAATTAATACAAAGGGTACTAGAGAGATTTAAGATATTATCATTGCTGAATATGCTAATATTTGTTGAATGAAAAATGCCATAGTCTACTATGGTTTGTTGCAGAATGATGAGTTAAAAGTGGAATAAAAGAAGCTTCAAGAAAAAAAGTAGAATAAAAAGAAAAATTACAAAACATTAAGAATAAGAAAAAGCCAAATGGATGTAAAACTTTTGATGGGTGATTTACAAGCGTTTCTGCCACCTGCTTCATTTTCTAAGAGGTATCAACCTGTAACAGGGACTGTAGGCTATAATGCCAAAGGCTACCGGCTAAAGAATTGTTCATTCCTACTGACTGCCTTTGTTTTATTCCATTTTCAGTTCTCATTGTAAGCTAAAATTGATAGTTTTAATTAAATAGGAAGTGAGATCCACATTCTACTCTACATTGCATATAAGCTTTTTGTATTAGAGAAAGTCACCGTGGTTCTTTGTTAAACACAAAGGATACAGACATTTGTTCGCGTCAATGCAAGTTTCTGAGAGTCACTGCCATTCCTTTGCCATAGTAACCCTGACCCAGGCTGACCTCCATTATTAATGATGCCACAAATGGGAGGGCTGAATTCATAGTCTTTACTAGTCAACTTTGTCAAAATTAATTTGAACCAGAACAAATTTAAATTCAAAATGATCTAATGATCTCTGGCCCAAGGAATCCCTATTTATAACCAATTTTTTTAAAACTCCCTACTGAAAACATAGTTGTGGTGAAGAACTGTCAATTTATTAACCTATTTAATAATAAATATAGAATCCAAATTTCTTGCTGAACATTTATTGACTCTGATTTCTCCCAGGGCATTAAATGAAGGATTTTGAAAGTTGTGTTAACTCTTCAAAGTCAAAAGAATAGTATATAATATGTTTAGGAGTTTCTTTATTGGACGATGAAAATGTTCTGAAATTGACTGTGGTTGCACAGCTCTGTGAACATACTAAAAACCAGTGGATTGTACATTTTAAGTGGGTGAGTTGCATGATATATACATTATACCTCAATAAAGTTGTTAAAAAATAAAAACTTCATCTTAGGGGGAAAAAAAAGGCTAGCTGGGAACCGGGCATGAATCATGCAAGTTTGCTGACATTTTTTCTTTATTAATCTGCTTAACTGAAGGATTAATATAGTCTCTGGAAAGATGAACAATGTAAAACATTCTTACCTGTAGGAGACACACTGTTGGCTGGAGAAGGTTGGATGCTAAGGGAAGATTCTGTAACACTCAGTGGAGGGTCTGTTGGGGGATTTACAGAACCTGAAAGGATCAAACAGATATTTATAACAAACAAAATATTGTAATAGAAAGATAAAGCATTGACTTAGTTTCTAAGTATACTATATTTATTCATCATATGACAGATCAATATTGAGGGCCTGTTCCATGCAGGCAGTGGAATACAGTGGTGGATGAGAAAGACGTGGGGCTGTCCCTATAGAGCCTACAACCTAGAGAGCAGGCAGCCAGGCACTGCGCCGAGTTCTGTGACGGTGGAAGTACGAGGTGCCACAGGTGTGCAACGAAAGGGCACCGATCAAGGTTGGGGGGTCTAGGAGAGCCTCCTGGAGAAAGTGACATTTAACCAAGACCCAGTAAAACCATTATAGCATTTAATATTCTGAAGTGTTTGAAAAGTAACCATGCAGTTTACAAAATCCATAAACCCACAACAATTTTTTTTAAATCAGCAAGAGTAGAAACAATGAAACAACTATCCAGTTGGATGTAACATGAATGAACTTAAGATTTATGATATTATCCTGCTATTTCTAAAATTTCAACTTTTGTCATGACATTTTTGTTTAGCTACAACTTTTCTGTGTGTGTGGGGGGGTGCTGAAATAGAGGCTACAATACCTTGTTTTACCTGTATTTTAAATTCATGTCAATTTCTTAAGCCTCCATGATGGTAGTTTAAAATAGTCCTATTTTAGAAAAAACAACTTACAAATGCCAGAAGAATCTACTGACTTTAGGAACATGTGGGCTAAATGTGGTTAGATGATTCTGAGGTTAGAGGATTTTGTGATTTTTTTAGACATAGTGTCACTGGATATAGTGTCACATATCTGATGAGGTATGTCAATTATTTGGATATTTCATTACAACTTATGTGATCAGTTCTATTCTGTAATTTACTTTAAGGAACAAGTATATATTATTTAAGTTGTGTCACTTGATAGTACATAGCACAGGGGAAGGAATTTGCTTTCCTATGCTACATGCATCCATGTTTTCTTCTCATTCTTGGAAGCAGTGTTATTTCTGTTGGCTGTAGGCAGTGCTCATAGCTGGCTGTGAATTGCTATCATATAAATGCTTTTGCGCTAATAATCTCTGAAATTGTGGGGGACAGTTCTATGGAAAGTGTGTGCACTGGTTAATGAAATGACCATGCTTTTCCCCCACACCACCCTAAATATGTTTGAACTCTTCAGCATGACAGACAAGGCTGATGGCGATTTGGCTTCACTACACTCCTAACTACATTTTCTGACACTGAGTACTATCTTTTCCATCTCTCTCCAATCATACCCTCTATCTAGTATTTCAACCCAGTTTCTCAAACACAAAATGCTTTATGTGGCTTTTGGTCTTTCTGTTCATGATGTTGCCTGACGCTTTCTCATCCCCACACTTCCCTGAATGTACCTTCTCAAGCTTGAGAAAGCCTGGGGATCTTTGTGATGTGCTCAGCCCTCAGTGTTTACCCTAGTGAAGGCCTGGCCACTCTGTGTCATTGGATATGCCCCTCAAGAGAAGGAATTGCTTTATTCTTCACTGTATTCATGGGTCCCTGCAAATGAGAGTGACGCAATGCATGATGCAATGCATACGAATTCATTCTTAACACTGGGAGAAAAAGGACCAACTTTAGATGCGAGTCTGACTGCTGGTGGATCATAAGCATTATTTTCCAAAGAAGTACCTGAATAAGATGGAGCATGGGCCTGGAAAATAAATGCCTGCATGTTGTTCTCTGTAGATTGATTAAAACAGAGATGAGCAAACTAAGTCCCACAGTCAAATCCTGCTGACTGCTTATGTTTGTGAATAAAGTTTTATTTGGAACACAGTCATGCCCCACCCCCTTTTTTTCACATATTGTCTATGACTGCTTTTGTATTCCACTGACAACTGAGTAACTATAATAGAGATCACATTATCTACAAAGCCTAAAATATATTTGCTATTTGGCTTTTTATAGAAAAATTTGCCAGCTCCTGGAACAGAAGATGTTGATGGGTTATGCTCAATCCAAGATTTCGATAATGGGAAACTTTTATTTTTCATCAACTGAACATTTGTGTTTTAAGATACCATTCTGTCATATTTCATCACTAAACGTCTTTGTAAGGTGAGGGTTCAGCCTCACAGTGCATTGGGAAGATATTACTACAAGATTTGCATTCTGAGATGAACTCTTTGTCCTGTGACAAAGGGGTTATATAGCTTTCAACATGAAATCTGAGGCCCCCAAAAAAGTCTGTCTGGTTTTAGATTGAACTACAAAGTAGAAACCCTGCCTTGGTCAAAACAAAACCTAGGAGGTGTAAAAAGAAGTGGTTAAAAAACTAAAACGGAAGGATGATTTACCAAAACTCAAATGCGGAATTTAGTAGAAACAGCTCAGTCAGGCTTCAGATCACTTCAGTTACCATAATGTTATAAGAGGATGAGCTGCTGCCCAAAGCCACTTCACCTGTTCCGGAATGTGCCATTCTGGAGTAGACTGGCAGGGCTCTCAGAACCACTCTCATGGGCAGCCACAGCCAGGGGCTGTCCCACAAAGGCAGTTGGCTAAATTCAGGGGCTTCCTCAGAGCTTATTTCAGCCCTTATCGGGTCTACCCAGAAATGAACCAAAACTCAGGGCTTGCTAGGCTCTTGCTTCTCAAAATGTGGTCCATAGACCCATGGGATCTCATTAGAAATGAAAAATCTTGCTTTTCTGTTTTTTAAAATTTGTTTAAAAATTTTTTTTTTGAAATAGAGTCTCACTCTGTCACCTGGGCTAGAGTGCCGTGGTGTGATCTTAGCTCACTGCAACTTCAAACTCCCGGGCTCAAGTGACCCTCCTGCCTCAGCTTCCTGAGTAGCTGGGACTGCAGGCATGCAACACTGCATCAGACTAATTTTTTCTATTTTTAGTAGAGATGGGGGGTCTCACTCTTGCTCAGGCTGGTCTTGAACTCCTGACCTCAAGCAGTCTTCCCACCTTAGCCTCCTAGAGTGCTAGGATTACAGGCGTGAACCACTGCACCTAGCCTTCCTCTTCCGTTTTACCATAACCAAGCTGCAAGCAACTAAATTGGGTGGCCCCACTGCAATCTTCTGTATGCTAGTGCCAAGACGGCCTGTTCTATAAACCACTGAAGCCATAAAGAAATTTTTAAAAAAATTAAACTTTAACACAATGAGGTACTACTTACTACCACATCTTCAAACTTCCTGGAGAGTAATGAGGACCTGAGTGCTTTGCTTCCTTCTGGTGGTCATCTCGTGTTACTACTGGTAGCTAACGCTTTGACCACTTCCCTTCCCAACAGCAACAAAGACAAGATGCTCATGTTGCACAGGGGCATACAATCCCAGGGCAAGTCCGCCCTGGATTCCACTACTTTTATGATGCAGATGTACAACAGAACGGATCTTTTATTGAGACTTTTAAATCTTTATCAGGCAGTACCACATGTGCACAAAGTGGTTATGGTGTGGAGCAATATTGGGAGAAGGGACCAGACAAGTTATGGAATTCTCTAGGGCTTCACCCTGTCCCTGTGATCTTCGAACAACAGATGGCAAACAGAATGAGAAATCAACTCCAGGTCTTCCCTGAACTGGAAAACAACGCAGTGTTAATAGCCGATGATGACACGCTCATTAGTGCCCAGGACCTCGTTTTTGCTTTCTCAGTTTGGCAGCAATTTCCTGACCAAATTGTAAGATTTGTTCCTAGAAATCATGTCTCTACTTCATCAAGTAACTACAGTTATGGAGGTTTTGAACTACAAACACCAGGATCTGGAAATGGTGACCAGTACTCTATGGTGCTGATTGGATCCTCATTCTTCAATAGCAAATGTCTTAAACTCTTCCAGAGGCAACCTGCAGCCATCTATGCTTTGACAGATAAAACTCAAAACTGTGATGATATTGCCATGAATTGTATTATTGCCAAGCATATTAAGAAGATTTCAGGGATATTTGTGAAACCTGTAAACATGGGCAATTTAAAAAAGAAACCAACAGTGGCTATTCTGGAATGTGGCATTGAGCTGAGCATTTTCTGCAGAGATCTTATGGTATAAGTGAGCTTATTAATATCTTTGACAATATACCCTTAAACTACTCCAAAATTATGATTTCCCAGTTTGTTTTTTCATATGCCACCCATGAAAATAAAATGTAAATCAAACAAAAACAAACTTGAAAATTGCTTGGTATTTGAGTAGCTTCTCCATGCTATGTATTTTGTTAAAGCAACATCATAAACTTTTATCTACTCCAGAACTTTCCACAATAGGAAAAAAGTGCAGGGCTTCTAGGATATAAAAATCACATTAATTTCAAAAACCAAGAAGCTGGCCTTATCCAGATAGACCTTCTTATGAAGAGTTTTTATCCAGGGATATAACTCTTCAGTCAGTGATTTTATTGTTTACATCTTGAGACTATTCTACAATTTCTTTGACTCCTGGCATTTGCCTTAAGGTCCTACAGCAAGCTGTTTCTAGGATCAGAAGCTCAAGAGATGCATTTCTTAGCTTTTTCACTAAAGGAAACGATTGTTTTAATTTGAGGCCTGAAATGCCTTTTTAGCAAAAGCCTGTGGTATAGGGAAAAGCCATGTGAGAATAGTCTCAGTCCCATATGAAAACAAAAGGAAAATTTGAGGCTATCAGTGTTTCCCTTGTGGCCCTTCCAGCCAACTCTTCCAAGACTAACTCAGCCCAGCAAGCGTTCGATGCAACCATCAGTGCTTTTATTTTTGTTGATAAGTCTCTTGTGATCAGGAGGTTTAATTTTAGTAGCTGAAAGATGTCTAGTTTTTGCTTTTTTTTTTGGTGAACATTGACTACATGGATCACAAAACAATGCAGCAAGCGTTTCTCATATGCAATTCATATGCAGCAAAGAATAAATGTGTTACTAGATTCAGAGAGCGCATTTGGTCACTGGCTCTGACCTTGAGGATGTACGTTAATTCTTATATTTACATAAATTATGTGTTGTTTAAGAAACATGTATAAATTAACTTCAGAAAGAATGAATAAGTAGGAACTAACTGGCAGAACTTAAAACCCTTAGGATTGAAAGATCTTTATTGTTAGAGCATAGGTTTTCTTATGGATACTAAAAAGTTGTGTGTATTTCACACAAAGCCAAAGACTTACATTCAGAACTCTTTTTCCCAAAAAAGATCCAAGGGACTAGTCATCATGAGGAAATTTAAATTACATAGATATAGGAAAAAATAAGATCAGAGTCATAGCAGAGGAATTCTTTAGGGAGTCTGGATTAGTTAATTGTTAAGGTAGCCCACTCTTGTAATGTGAAGTAGTATCTGTGCTATACCCATTGCCAATGTATGTAGTCCATAATCACTACTGGTGGCAAGAAGTTCTTAATTAGGCCTCCGTTTACCACCTCATCTTCCTCCTCCTTCTCCTTCTCCTCTTCCTTCTTCTTACATAATGGCAGCATATTCTCAAAATTGCAAAATAGTGAGAATATTAAAATAATCATGGTTAATGTTCCAATAATGAGATATTTATATGTAGTTAGTTTAGAACAGGTTGTTTCTTTATATTGGAATGTGAATGTGTCTTAATGCAATCAGATTAAAATAGAAAAACAAAAGAACTTGGAATCTCACTAAAAGTCAATGTTGATTATCTGCTTTGTCTAACTTGATAGTTTTTTTTTTTTTGCCTCTTGGGATTCTTCTAGTAGATATATAAAATAAACTTTTACAAGACAGACAGAGAAAGAAAGAAAGAAAGAAAGAAAGAAAGAAAGAAAGAAAGAAAGAAAGAAAGAAAGAAAGAAAGAAAGAAAGAAAGAAAGGAAGGCAGAATATCAGGTCCCATCCAGACTTACTAAATCAGAATTTGCATTTTAACGAGGCCCCTGGGTGATTTATACACATATTATAGTTCTCTATTATTGATACTCTCAGGAGTCCCAGGGCCAGTCACAGGTGGGAGGCCTGCTGCACTGAGGGAAGTCATGAAATAAGAAGTATTTGGCTGGCATCTTCCACCTCGATATTCAGTGGTCCTCCTGTCCCACTGTTGAGAAATCTCTTTGTACTCCTCTCTCCACACTCCAGGATACACATGCATAGGTACACACACACACACACACACACACACACACACACACACACACTCACATAACCTGTCAGCACTTAACACTCTTTCTATCCCAAAGGTCTTGAATCTCAACAGTTACAGGTGGAAACCCATTTACTAAACAAATCTCTGTCAAGGCTGATGACAGCCAAAATATTACCCACCCCAGGGGGTATTACACCTAACTCTCAGATTATAACAAAACAAAATGTCTACCTTCCACCTCAAAAAGCCTCCCAACCCCCCACAAAACCCCACTCTTTGAATATGCCCAAAGCAGACTCAGCAGTGCTACAATTTTAGGCATCCTGACAGGCTAGCAGGACAGGATGTTTTTAGAAAGACATTCTTGTTGCTCTTTTATTTTGTAGTTACTATTGATTCATGAGAATTTCTGCAAGCTCTGGTGCTCAAATGGGTGCTTGAAGAGCCCCCGATGACCCTCACCCTCACCCTTTCCCCTTTCTGAATTCCTCTAGAACAGGAATCACTGAGCACTTGAAATTCCTGAGAGGCTGAGCGCAGATGGGTTAGGGAGCACCTCAGGGGCTGTTGTCCTGCAGCCTCCAACATTGTCACCCTTCTCTAGGAACAAAAAGGAGCTGAACTCTTCCTTTTCTCTAACTAAATCTCCATCCTGCTCTGTAATAGTCTCAGAATTTTTCTACTTTAACTCTCAGAGACAACAGATTTTTCTTCTGTGTTTTCATCTCAGTATTTTGTGAACAATAATTGCTTGTTCACAAGGCAATGCACCATGCCTCGGAAGTGTACCCCAGAGCTCATAAGCGTCCACCAGAAACAGTGCTAGACAGGCAGAGAGCATGTTTGGAAGTACATGTTTAAAACATTACGAACATTGACTGCCACATTAGAAAAAAACAATTTTTTCCTTGGAGTCATGGTGTTTTATTTCCAAAACAGAATAAAAACTTTGAAAACAAAACAATCCTTTCTAATTTAATTAAAAATGAAATTTATTGACTTCTACTCATTTAATTCACGTTTTTAAAATTAATTTGTCGATATTAATTATAACAATAAGAACATCAACAAGTTAAGATTTTCACAAACCAATTGCAGGATTTTGCCCAGGTTTTGCTTCATGAGGCCCTAAACTCAAAACTAGTGTGAGTTAAATACAACTCACATGGCAGTTAATGTTAAGAATGTGTAGCAAATAGGAAGGTATACAGTGATGGCTTTACAGAGTCTTGGCTGTATCTTCTAAATCTTTCAGAAGGATATAGGTCAGAGTAGAACCAGAATGTAAGCTGTAATTTAGGGAAACTGAACTCTTCAAGATTTATTGTCTTTAATATTTGATCATGAAGGATAAAGAGTCATTTGGCAATTTGGCCAAGGGTCCCAGTAACAAACTCCTACATTGTGGAGGAGCTGGGCAGGACCCAAGATGCAGACTGTATCCTTGGAATAAAGGAAAACTCTTTTCCTTATAAATTATTCTGCGTTTTTATGAGTATGTTATAAACTATAGGATCTCTGAAAATAGAATGGTGGTTAAAGAAGTTAATGGTCCTATGGAGTTATAATAATGATTTGCAAATCTGTTTGAGTTTTATAAGATTACTATTAAATATGCATATTTGACAGTTGTCATTACAAACTTCTATTTTTTATAGGCATATCTGTTATCACTATATTTGTTGAGACATTTGTTCTCATGTTTTATGTAGTAAAATCTCCATTGTTCGATTTTGGTTCAGGGCAGCAAATATTCTGGTTAGTCAAATGTTGTAATAATTAGAGTGATCCTATCTATTAATTTTCAAATCATAGAAGTCTTGTATGTGCTGGATACTGTGCTTTAAACTAGGAGTACTAAAATCATTAAGATACAGTCCCTCTTTTTATGGTATAATAGCTTATCAATTCCTAAACACTAAAATTATATATGCTGTATATAATTGAATGTTTTTAATGACTCAGAAGAAATTTTAGAATCTTTCTAATCTTTCTTGATCATTAACATTAGTATTAATTTTCGTTATGTAGTGGATTAACAAAAGTGCTAGTTAATTAAGAGTTAGGATTAATGGAATTAGAACAAAAATTATTGTATTCAACAGAAATCCTTTATGTAAACAGGAACCATCTACTTTATTTTCATTTGAAGAAATTATTTTTAGTGGAGTCCTATTTGTCAGAAATGTTCTATAACTTGAAATTTAATAGTTTTAACTTGTGTCGAAAGTTTTCTGAGATTAAAATATTATAGAAATAATGAGTATTCTATTTGTTCCAATTAGACATGTTCTGAATTTATGGCAGTCTTTGCCAACCCTTCTTGACCTTATTAAATAGACAACTCACCCAAGGAAAAAGTGATCTTTTCCGATGAGATATTGCACACTTTATTTCCAGGGACCGGAGACAGAGCCATACACCAAATGGTCAGATTGTTTGATTGGGCTAGATCATTACCATGCACCCTTGTCAAAACAGACTTTAGTTTCAGCAATCCACCTTTGCCTTTTCTCTCTTCATTAACAATGTGTATTCCTACAAGACAGATAATAACATGGCTAGTCAACAACATTATCTGTATGAGCCATTCAATAATGTAAAGGTATGACATTATCAATTTATGGTAATGTAAAGTTCAAGGTGGTCAAACTGTAGGTTCTCTGTAGTGAGGGTCAATTTTAGCAGACCTAGAATTAACCCGAGCTGTTTGCTCAAGCTCCAGCATGGCATTGATCTATGGTCAAGGTATAAAATGCATTGATTAATAGTGTAGCTTTGTTTGAGACCATGGGTCCAGGGGTTTGGTGCAGATTGTCCCAGCCCATCAGCATTGTTTATTGATAACTGTGAGATTAATTATTTCACCTGTTCCGGGCTAGATCCTGGGATAGCTCTGCTGTGGAGTCTGGTTATATAGCAGGAATATACCTAAATGACCAGTAAAATATAAAATAACCTCAGTCAAGACTCTATTTTGGACTTCCAACTTCTGAGCTGTTCTGTGCATGTATCACTGGTTCCTGATCTGGCTGTGGCTCTTACAGAGAAAGGACAAAGAAGCCCAAATGTGACTTCTGACTCCTTGCTATAAGTGTATCATATGATATATATTTTAATTGTGTTCCTATGTTGTTTCCTTTTCCTGAAATAAGCTGTATTTTTATAAGTATTGTCATTTTGGGTCCTGTGATTCCTCTTTAGAAATAAAACCTTGCCACTATTAGTGCAACCTCCAAATAGCCCACGTGGCAGCAGAAAATTAATGTGAAACTATCTTTCAACATAGTTCAGAATTTTCTTGACTCTTACAGCTTCTTTACATTAAAGATTATTAATGCTGGTTCTGAAGTTATTACTTGTGAAAGTAATACCTAAATGCAGTTGTGTGCTGGTGGAATTCTGACCATACCATCTGTCTTATTGCTTGGGAAAGCAATGGGCACATCAAAGCACATCTGGTTGCTTTATCTATGCAAGGCTTATATAACAGAAGAATATATTTATAATAAATTTTAACACATATTTTTAGGATTGCGTTCTGTCATTGTTGTGGGTAAACTGTTTTTCAAGCAAACTAATGATGAAACCAATAGTATTCTCAAAATGCATCAAGTGATCAATGCAATCATTCATATGCATTTAATTTATCAATTAAAAATAATGCAGCAAGAGTTGTGTGACTTAGTTACTACTGAAAATATATTGAGCTTTGTATAATGATGACTTGGGAGGAAGAGGAATGGTTGTTGTCCAGGCAGGAGATGCTGAGATTATTCTGACAGAGGCTGTCATGGTTATTGCCTATGAAAAATATGGCTTTGTGTATTATCACCTGAGCTTTGTCTCAAGGTGTGCTCCTGCTCTGGGAACTTTTAATCCTCCTGATGAACATGCTATTTGTCAAGGAGCCAACTCCCTTATAAACACTTCCTCCAGTGCCCTCCAATCCCCACCCCAGATCTGCACAAGAAAAAGTAGAAATTATTTATTGACTGATTTCAAGCAGCGGTGCTCAGTTAATTGAACACATTGCATTGAAATAAGAAAGAAATGGAAGAACAGATGGCTATGTTACAAAAGCAGAGAATTTTTTAATACCTGTATGTTGAATTAAACTTTTTTTTGTCCTCATATATGAGAGTAGCTTTTACTAAAAATTAAATGAAAGTGTTTGTATGTGGTTTGACAAAGCCAACTATATTTTGTTCTTTCTGGGAAATGTTACACTCCACCCTCTTGGAGGAGCCAGATGAAATATCAGAAAATGACAGCTGGTAGGCAAGATGATGTTTTTCTTGGAATGAGAATTATTCTTAAATGCCAAGTTCAACTTGGGCAATGACAATTTCTAATGTTATTTGTGAACATTTCTTTCTTTCTATACCAGACCCATTTCCATTGATTTAGTTTTCTTACCTTCATTTTCATTTTGAAGAAATCTTCCATCTATAAACCATGTGAGATTTGCTTTGGGAAATACATTCTTTAGAGAGCAGGTAAATGTTCTCTGGGGTTAAGACAGAAAGAACAAGGATTATTTGCAAATTCAGAAGAAACTGGTGCTCCTTACATCTCATCAACATCCACATGAGATAAACTTGCAAGAAATTATTTTCTCTACTTTTAACTGGATAACTACAAGGCAGCATCTACCTTTAATATAGGTTGCATTAAAATGTGGCCTATAAATGGGCTATCTCCTATAGAAATGTTGTACATTTATGGCTGGAATAATAGGTCAATTTAAGAACCTAGGACAATACTAATGTTGCAAGTCTAGATTATGGATTATGGAAAAGAAAAATCATAACTCTGTATAGAATAAAACAATATTAAATGGGACTAAAGTATAGAATTAAGAAGCTGTAACAGGAGAGGTCAGAGAGGAATATTATGTTATTAATAGATTAAAAGTTAAAAGGGATCTATATCTTGATTATGTTCTCCAAATAATGCAAAATACGATTTGTAGCAACAATCACAGAAACCATTTAATTAAATATCCCACTTTTTACTTGTAAAGAGTTTTCCTAATATTTGAAAATTTTGTCTTAATCTTATAGAGTAGGTAGGGCATGCCTTATGATTAACATTTGACAGATGGGGAAATCAAAGCCCTGAGTGGTTAAAAGGAGTGGAAAATAGTTGTTAATGGCATAGTTAGAAACTATGTCTCTTCAATCCCAGTCCAAAATATTTCCTGGTAAAACACATTGTATTGAAATAGGAAAGAAGTAGAACAACAGGTAGCTACAAAACAACAGGTAGTTACAACAGCAGAAAATTTACATGTAGGGTAAGTTATATTTCATTTTCAACAGTTTGCTCTTTGAGGAATATTTTCTTCAATATCCTGGTGAAAATATCCAATAAGAGTTATTAGATCCCCATCATTTTATCTGAGACACTGCAAAATTATACCCACTTACAACTACTTGTTTTCTCATCAAGAGACGTACATATTTTACATATGGCAGGCCCTAGTTCTTAGATCCTAAGCATTTTTCACAATTGATGAATATACTAGTTAACTAGTAAAGAACAATTAACTCTGTGGGATGGTTTGTGTTCCAATCCACAAATTAGTTGCCCCCTAAAAGTGTAGAACCTACAGAGCTAGAAACCAAGCTCAGGAATACTAAGTAACATTTTTCTGGTGAGAGCCTACTGAGGTGCAGTTTACCATCCTTCAGTACATTGCTACAAAAATCCCATAAAACAAGAAGAATTTCAGAGGAGACTGTCTATCACATCCAAGACAGTAAATGGCAAACACGGCAGCTCCTAGCATTTTCACTTGTTCAACACTTGCTTTTTCCAGATAATGGGGATACATGCATGTGTCAGGGGTGTGCCTCTATAAAATTATGTCATTTTCTCCCCTAGGAAATCAAAAGTAAAACTGAGTTCCCTAAAATATATTCTTATTGAATTAAGGAAAGAGGATTCAGTAAATTTAATCCAATAAATGCCAAAAATTGATTTTTATTTCCGGCTGGTCCAGGAAGAGATAAAAGAGGTATAGGAGGTGAAATGTTAAAAAAGAAAAAACAGTTGTAAAGGTTTGTATTAAATCCAATGCCATTAACCATTTTCATGCTTCATTTCCTCCAGGTTCAGTTAATTCACCAAAAGATGATGATATGGCAATATCAGGAACAAGTGGAGAGTTCACGGAAGGAATAGCTCTTATCAGCTCCTAAAAAGGCTGAAAAGATTTGACTCTTGTGGATACTCTAGACTCAGACTTTCTAGAATGATTTAGACTTCAAATACTCTATACTATCTCTAGACTCTGTGTTCTAAGATTTGGTTTAGGATTATGGTTCTTGCCCTAAAACTCTTTCCAATGTCTCTAAAATTGAAAAGCCACAGACTAAAATAGTTCAACTTGAGGTCAAACAACTTTTATATGTTTGGCTGAGTAAGCAGAGCTGTCTGTATTTGGGAACTTCAACTTGCTTAAATGAGCAAGAAGAAAATATGTTAAATCTGAAAAAATATAAAGTAAATATGTACAAGAGTGTACATGCACACACATGCACACACACATACACATTCCTTGGCCAAGATGTCAAAAATGATTCATTCACTCTCTGTGCCTGTTGCATTGAGAAACAAGCCAAATAGCTGACTTTTTCAATACATAATTCTGGTACATAAAGAATAAGTGAGCAATAGCATAAAGAATTATGTAGTCAGTGCCAAAAAGTATTTGGACAGTTCTGTAGGAGTACAAGGAAGAGTGAAATCTGGGAATAACAGATTCCCAGTCACAGTCTGTGGACAGGGAAGAGAAAGGCCCGGACTCTACAGGTGATCTATGTTGAGTAGTGGGCAATTCATGATGATGGGTGGCTGGAATGGGCTCCTTGTCAGAGCACCTTGAGGCTCTGCCATGAGTTGGGATGTTACCCTGGAAGGAGAAAGAAGCCAGTGCACAGTTGGGCCATAATGAGATTGGATAAGTCAGAAAAAAACAACAATCCAAATCTGATTGCAAGACTGATCATTTTCTTATTTCCAGAGGCAAAACACTGAAATGGTGACCATCTGTAAGTTAACCCCTGGCCACCTTGCCTAAGTTTGAACAGAACCTTTTCCAAAGGGCTTTTCATTAGAATCATTTTGAAAACATTTAGCTTTTTAGTTTAGAAATGGGAATATTAAAAATAGTTTCCATATTTGTTTACCAACTCTGCATTCCCATTTGGAATCTTTCCTCCCCCTGTTTCTTTTTTCTGCTTGGAATTTAACTTTTAGTCTCTTCATGTTTTCTGCTATACCACTTCTATCTTTTCTTCTGTAATGCAAAGTTTTTTCTTCTTCCATTGATACCTTCTTTAAAATGTACCTGTCTCCTCTTGGTAGGTTTTTCTTCCCAAATTTAAATATACAGACACACACACATATATATAATAGATGTAATATATGTGTAAATATATATTTTGCTTAAGTTGTGTTTATACCTTTATTTGAGAGTAGATAGAAGCCAACAGAATTTCAGCTTTCCAACTCTAGTTACATAACATAATAAAAAGCATTCTAAATCTGTTTCTCATTGTGCCATTGAATTTTAGGGGTTTTCTTTTATTGAATCTTCCCTTTTCTACAAGTTCTTAGGTTTTTCTACTGACTGTATTTGCAACAGCCATAGTTGCCAAACCAAAAATCAAGACTCGTGGTCTGACAATTGGACAAAATACTTGAAACCATAGGTGTTGTTGAGGCATGTTGTGTAGAGACATATTTCAGCCTTTCCCACCCCTTACCCCCTGAAATCTCTCTCTTTGCTTGAGAGGCCAGATGATCTAGTCATCAAGAAACAGAACTAAAACTTGTAGTTGCTTGACTTACTGTTTTACTGCATGACTTTGGCCAGGAACATTTTTTTTTCTTTTTTTGGTGCTGAAGAGTTGGAGAAAAGATTTGCATTTGTGTCTAGGAGTTGCAGAAAAACCCTGCAGACAGAGACACACCCTCTTGGAAACAAAGCTGCCCTGAAAGTGGGAGGAGACCGGAACTGGAGGTGCCTGTCCTCCTGGGGGTAGGAGTCAGCTAACAGCCATCCAAGGTGAGCAGAAAGGCATCCACTCAGCACCGGAGAGATCAGAGACAAGTCCAGAGCCCTGCTTGCCTGTAAGTACCCACTTGTGGCTTGGGGGATTTCCTAACTGTCGGGGTTGGCAAGCTTGATGAATAAAGCTCCCATTCATTTAAGAAATGACCCAAGAAAGGAGAAATGAAGTCAAGCTGTTTTTAAAATGCAATATAATTTCCCATCTATTTATTTATCTTTAAAATGGAGTAAGCAAGCCAAACATCTGGAGTAAAGTGTTACTTCCTATTTGAAGGTCCTATTTGCTGTTGGCTTTGCAGGTGATCGTGCTGGGGAAGGCGGAGTAAGGAGAGCCGCTTGCCCAGGACAACCAGGCAGCACGTCTGTGGCGGTGTGCTCCACCCCCTCCTCCTCTGTGCATGCCAGCTCCTGCCGAAACAGCTGGGCTTGCTGTTTGGATTTCTTAGAATCCCAGCCTCAGAGACGCCTTCTAAGGACAAGCAGACCTCACGTTGGAAACTTTACTACTGTCCACATCTTGGCAGGCTTTGCCTACTCTGGACTACTTGTTGCAACAGTTGTTAGGAAGCACGATTGTCTCCTACTTCAGTATCTGTCTGTGAGAGCCACTGAGGCCCCCATCCTGACAGTCCTAAAGAGCCTGACCCCAGAAGCATCTAGGAGGAGAATCGAGAGAAAACTTAAAATTTTCAATATTCAAAAATACCTGCTGTGGTGGTTGATGTAGAAAACACCGAGTTCACTAAAGAGCTTTGCAATTGTTGGATCAGGGAATACCTTTGCCACAGGACCTGATGTGTTTTGTCTTTCTGGCCTAGCCAGGGAGGGGTTGGTAAGTATTTGGGGCATGGAGGGAATGCATTTGTAGGCCATTTTACTTGTATCTGACTCACCCCTGACTCTCCAGTGAAGTGGAAAGGAGGAATCATCACACTACCCAGGTGCGGCCAGACTTCAACCATTATTGTGAATCTTGGAGAGTCACTGCAATCCCTTCCCAAATACACATTCAGTCCTGTGGCTCGACTAAACCTTTTGGCTAACGTCTAGGCACATCATAAAGAAACCTGTGGAAGAGGAGACACAATGAGGCGGGAAGAGGAGGAAGAGAAGGGAACCAGGATGAAGGCCAAAGGGGACTTAGAGATGAAGGAGGAGGAAGAGATCAGTGAGACGGGAGAACCGGTTGGCCGTTTGGCGAGTGCCATGCCTACCCCGATGTCCCACAACAAGGGGACTCGGTTTTCTGAGGCGTGGGAGTATTTCCACCTGGCCCCTGCTCGTGCAGGGCACCACCCCAACCAGTATGCCACCTGCCGCCTGTGTGGCAGGCAGGTGAGTCGCGGCCCTGGGGTCAACGTGGGCACCACGGCCCTGTGGAAACATCTGAAAAGCATGCACAGAGAGGAGCTGGAGAAGAGTGGCCATGGTCAGGCGGGGCTGCGCCAGGACCCCAGGCCCCACGGGCCCCCACCTGCTGTGGGCATTGAGGGCGACTGGGGCAGGCTCCTGGAGCAGGTGGGCGCCCTGGCTCTGTGGGCCAGCCAGCGGGAGAAGGAGGTGCTCAGGAGGGAGAGGGCTGTGGAATGGAGGGAGAGGGCAGTGGAAAGGCGAGAGCGGGCCCTGGAGGAGGTGGAACGAGCCATCCTGGAGATGAAGTGGAAGGCCAAGGCTGAGAAGGAGGCGTGCCAGCAGGAGGAGGACCTGCCTGCAGCGGCGCACCCCTTCCACTTCGTTTAAATCAGGATTGGGGGAAAATCCATTCTGACAATACCGAGTTTAAACTCATAGCAAAGAGCCATTTTAGTTCCAGCTTAGCTGTAAAGCAAAGTAGCTTAGTGACATTTTGTTTATATGCAAAAGAGTACCCAGTATGTGTTAATCTCAGCAGATCTGAATTCAACAAATGCTCATATATGGGGTTTTTAGAGCTGCGCTAACCCTTGGCCAAAAATTTAAAATGTACCGACTAAAGATAAATGCTGTTTTGCCACCATGTGTCTGTGAGTTGTTTCAGGGTAGAATGTACCAGCCTGTCAGTGTTGTTTAGTGAAAATAATTGGATTTATGCCTCGCACTTGGTTTGGGTGGAGCTGAACGTTCTGAGGGCTGAGGCTAGTCAGGTGGTTGGCATGTGCCCATGTGACCAGCTCACTCTCAGAGATCTCCTCACAAACAGAGCTCAGCTTCCTGGGCCTATGAGGTGTTTGCATGTGTACTGGTGGTGCCTGGAGACCAGGATACAAAGCTTGTTCTGTGTGGTCCAGCAGTGGAAAGGCAAAGAAGCTTGAGCCTGAGATCTCCGGACCCTTCCAATGCATGTCTTTCTCCTGTTGTTGCATTGTTGCATCGTCTGCTTATATTAAAGCTGATTCATCAGTCTAAGCTGTCTGAGTCCTGTGAGCCTTTTCAACAATCTAACACTTAAAACTAATTAATGTGTAATTAGCACAGAGGAAATTAAAGACTCTTCAACTTACTTGTTTTAAATATTAAGAATAGAGAATATAAAAATCTCAGATATTTAAAATTATAATCTGATTTCATGTTAAGGTCTGTTAAGGGAGAAGGACTTAGTGAGGAAGAGATGAAAGAAACTCCAAAAGAAATAAGAAACAGAGAGGTGGGATTGGTAAGGAGAAATAAAGAACAGAGGAAGGAAAGCAAAAAAGAGAGAAAAGGAATAGAGAAGAAATGTGAAGATGGGGAAGAGAGAAACAGTACTCTAGGAAAAATTCATCCAGATAACAGAAAATGACTGTCTAGGTGAGTGAAGGACAGAGAATATTTTCTTAGATCCTGAAGTCAATTTTAATGAGTTGAGTTGGTTTTGTCTTGTGCCCACAGACCAGTCATTCATTTGAGCAGTAGGTTTTAGATTTTATCTGTACCTCTGAAATGCTAACTGCATGCCAATCTAATGTTCTCTGTTTTAGTTTTTAAACTATTCTTCTTTAAATGCTCAGAGACACTTTGAAAATAGGGAACCTAACAGCCCATAAGGAGAGAAAACGTGTCCAGGGCTGCTGAGGATATTCCTAAAATGTTAACTTAGGAATAGAATGAAATCAAACTAGAAACCATCCTGGCCTTTGGACTGGAGCTGCCATTTGTTTTGGAAGATTCCTCTAGAATCCCTCTCCACACCCTTGCTTTCTTCTTTTTTTTTTTTTTTCACCTGAGTTGGGAGATGGGATGGGGAGAGCTATTGAAGGGAACAGGAGATAAAGAAAATGTCCCATGATCCCACAGATCGCCCAAGTAATTTATGGGCGCCGACCTCCATGAAGGCAGAGGAGATCCTGGTGTAACAATGGCATCCTGCCTCCTGGCTCACTCCCACTGCTTCTTAGACTTGCAAGGCAGCCATAACAGCCAGACCTGTCTTCCCTGTGAGCTGTTTCTGGAACAAACAGAAGCCCAAACACCAGGCTTATGAAACACCCAGGCTAAACTGCAGTCCTGCCGTGTTTTTTCTTTTTCTAGAAATCTGCCTGACTGTGAAGATTTCAGTTGCCATGTGGTTCCCCCACAGGCTGTGGTGCCCCTCACAGGGCCTCTCCATCTGCGGTGCAAGCTCAGGGGCTCCAGTGCAGACGGAGATGGCTGCTGGGAGCCCCGTGCCTGGACATTTGGAGTCAGAGCCTTACTGTATCACAAAAGATGCCAGAAAGAGAAGGAGGAAAAAAATAGGCTGTAAAACCTATTCTTTATAAAAACAAAACCCAAAACACAAACATTTGGAAGGGGACTTAAGAAGCTCCAGGAATCCACAAGTGTTCAGGCTTTGCAAAACCAAAACCAAATAAACATAAATAGTCGAATTCTGCAAAAAACTACCAGTGTTCTCCTACTGAAGCTAACCACAGTGCGGTTTTTAGATTTTGGTTATCTGTTTTACATGGTTCTTATTACAGCAGCCTGTCTTCCTTTTTAGGCACCTTAACTCCAAACTGCTTTTGTTTCCTGTTTCATGATAAATAGATTTCTTTAGATTTTTTTCCCTTAAATTTTGTTAAACATAACAAAGGTAGGAAGTCACAAGGACAAGACCCATGGAGATGAGAGGGTTAAAACATAAAGCACAAGCATGAAAGAGAGACGTATGCGGCTTTTGGAAAGACTGTGCACACTGGAGTTTTCATGCATCCCTCTTGTGCCTTCTTATGCTGCATCACCAACTGTGGCCTGAGGGGCTCTTTGGCCCAACATCTTTTGCTCAAATGCAAAAATCTGCCTCATGGAGGGGCCCTGAGATTGAAGTTGAAGACTCCTTTCCCATCCTAGCTGCAGGAGTGAAGTTGCATGCTATGCTAGAGCCCTACGGAATGCACAAGAACAGGATATCCACAGATACGACACTCTCCTTAGACATCTCTGGCATGTCCGCACCTGAGAGGCATCATTGTTAGAATAACTTTGGGTCTTTTCTGTTTTATAGAAAAACTAAATTAGCCATAAACTTTTTAAGTTTAACTAAGTAACACTGGAATACAGCTCACAAGTGAGCGAGTCCCCATGGCAGTACAACACTGAGGGCTGCTTGTACAGTAAGTACATAGCACAGAGCAAGCATCCAATACAGGTATGTTGACTTAATGACTTTCTAAGGAATGAAGGAGAGTGGGTAGGAGAGTGCTATTATCAAACAGTTGTGGTGGTCAGATGGTAAGTACTTTGCATAGCCTCTCTGGTTGGATCCTTACATTCCCCCTTGTGAGATGGGAATCATTGCCCCCATCCACTGAAGAAGCAGTTAAGGACCTGAGGTCCCAGGGGTCCAAGTTAATAAGCAACCAAAGAGAATTCAAACCTAGCTTTGTCAGATTCCACAATATATACTCTGGTTTTTTTCATCAGCCCACTCTGTCTCCTAGAATCAATCACATAGCAGATTTATGAATGTAAGTGCAGAGCAAAGAATGAGTGAAAGAAAATGGGTGAATGATAAGTAGTGGTCAGGGAAGAAATATTCCTGAGTTGTCTACTATACACTATGTACTCCATTATTGTGCACAAATTTAATTCTCCTAAGAAACTTGTGAAGTATTTATTATTATTCCAGATTTAGAGATGCATCAACCTCCATGAGTGGAGGTTACCTAGTTGATGAGGATATGTAACCAGTAAGTGGTTGAATTAGGATTTGACACCAGTGCTAGCTGACCCTAAAGTGTGATTTCCTTTCATCACACTATCCTGCCTGGATGTGGGCAAGCTAAATATGCACCCCACCTCCGCCCTTTATGAGTGACTCAGCTGGCTGTCTACTCTTTCTAGGCCCCAAGTTGTCATCTGTAAAATCACAGATGTCTGACCTATTTCAGAGCAACACCAGGTACAAGTATGTGAAAGGGCTTTGAAGAGTTAATAAGTTATTGAAATACAGCAGGGATTATAGGAATATTAGAGTGGGGAGTTTTTAACATTTGGCAAAATCTTGAAAGATCCCAGAGCAAGCCATGTCCTGTAGCTGGTTTTGTGGGGTTGGAGAGAGATTATTCACCAATTCCCCAGGAAGTAAAGTTCTCTGGTTTTCCTAGTCAGCACTCCAGCAAGCATGGATACAAAAGAGGAAAGGCAAAGTTCCTTTTTTTAAACATTGGGATTCTTGGATTCAATTTGTGTTCTATATCTGGATTGAGCCCATATTACTTATAAACATTGGCACTAGAAACAAAAACACCTACCAAAAGCTGAATCATTAGATTATGTTTCTAATTTAAACTATTGCAATGAAGTCCACTAATAAACTTAGAAATTAAATTGTGGTGGCACAAAAATGATCACATCTTTTGCTATATACTCACTATTATAGTAGCAGTTATCTGAGAGACTAATACATGAAATTGGCAAAAAACACAAATACTTGGGTAATATAATATATAGAGAGAGAAAGAGAAAGAGAGAGGGGGAGAGAGTCATACAAAACCATCCCAAAAAATCTGAGCTATGATTTTTATGCAGCTGTCCAATTAAAAGACTGATATTCAGCAGGACTAGAAATCATAAGTTATTTAGTGTCCTTGGGTGAGAAGAAACTAGTATACAAATATAATCTCTCTCACCCTATATAAAAGGAAATACTTGAGAATTAGTGGAAATATTTATCTTACATGGGGTTTTGAAAAGCTTGAATGAAATCGTAAGGCCACAATTAAATAGCCAATTAAATAGATGATAGTAATAACAAAAACAATAACATTCATTAAATACTGAATATATGCCACACACTGTACTAAGGACTTTTCAAACATTATTTAATTAAATTCCACAAAACAATGATGTGTAGATAGTAGTATTATCCTCTTCGTATAGATGGAGAAACTGACTATAAAGATGTGAAGTAATTTGCCCACGGTCATGGCCAGCAAGAGGAAAGGCTGGGAAGTGAGTCCAGATCCCAGTCACTAGAGGCTGGGAACTACCACCCATGAGAAACTGAAGTCACAAGGCCCTATTCAACTTTCCTTTTTCCCTTGCCTCTCCGCCTACTGCCAAATAAATGGCTAGGGTTCTGAAGGAGTATAGGAGAATAAATTTCATCTTGTCACTTTGAAATAAAAACAATGGGAAAGCTGGTACAAGAAAGGGATTGGAACAAATTATTATAAATTTTAGCTGAGCAAAACCCTCCTTCTTACACCAGGATTCACACTGCTTTCTGCCCTACTTTTCCCTCATCATCCACCTCAATTTTTATTAAAGAGAAGTTTAAACAATTGCAACTATTTTTTTTTTCTGGGAAATTTAAGGACTGAGGATGCAGATCAAACATTCTGAAGGTCCTAATTCTAAAAGTAAAATTTCCCATTCAGTTTTTAGAATCCACTCAGCTTCCCTACATCTCCATGGGCAGCTAATCGGCCAAGGGCTAAGGAGTAAGGTCCTTTGAGACAATGTTCCTGGCAATGATGAAACATGACACACCTTGGCATGTAATGCTACAGATTTTCAAAGGCTTTAATGTGACTCACCTCTTTCAAGACATTCTTGGAGTCTTCCACAATCATGGGGGTTTTTGGCTTAGCTTAAAGGCAAATAAAACATAGTTAGTGTCATTGAATGTCATCCTACCTGACTACTAGTGCACATATGTGTTGAGGGGGGTGTGTCTATGAGAAAGATTTATCATTCATCAAATAATTATAAATACTACTATGTCCCTGGCAGTATGCTAGATACCCAGGAAATAAAGGTGAACAAATCACATTCATTGTCCTCAAGAAGTCTACATTTTCATGAAAAATACAGATAAATAAACTAGAAGTTACAATATGCTGAGATAAGTACAATGATCGAGGACATGTAAGATTTGAAAGCAGCGTTTAACAAAAGCTTCTAACTCATACTTGGGAGATGGGTGGAGAATTTTAGAAGATGTGATGTGTAACTGATACTTGAGTGGTGATCAGTAGTGAGTCAACTGAAATCAAGAATGTGTAGGATGGAAGGGCAGGTGGATTGGGGAAGAGAGAAGAGAGGCATGTTTTACATGCCCAAATGCCTTGGAATAAAGTCTCATTTTTATGCTCCTGAAGGGGACCAGAGATCCTTAGTTATTTTCTTAACTCTAGAAAATATTGGAGAATATTTCAGCAATTTCCTTGTCCTGCTAGATTTTAAGTGCCTCAAAGCAGAGTGTTTTATCTATCTGCACATCTCCAGCACTTAGCAGTGTCCAACACAAAGTAGACGTTGAGTATATCATGTTTAACTGAAGCGGCTTCAAGTAAATTCTTGAGCATAGCAGACAGAGCCTTCTATGAACCAGTGGAAAGAACACTGAGACCCCCATCACAGGTGCTGTCAGTGCCTGCTACATCCACGTGGCATTTACCTCCACATACCGAAGACCTCTTCCTGGGCATGTCTATGACTTTCTGCCTAAGAATTTATTGGAATTATAGGAACATGCTCAGTCCACAAGTTGGAAAAACTGGAAGTTCCAGAGAGTTAATGGTGATAACAGATGGGGAGATGGGTGGATGAATACCCCAGCTTCTTGTCCTTCATTTGGGATAACTCTGATGCATGTTCTACACTGTTTCTCAGAGTTACCCAGTGAGATAGAGCTCTTGGCTCAATCATGTGCATTTTATTATCTTCCTTCCCTTTCTTGACTCACTTTTCCATTCTTCTTTTGATGTTTCCCAGCATGTCCTCTCAAAAAATTCATTTAACTCAAATCCTTGTCTCAATGTTTTCTTTCGGGGGAACCCAAACCAAGATACAACCCTGAAACACTAATGGGGAAAGGGGTGTTTCCGACCTCCTACTAGCCAACAAATATCAGTAGAATGAAGGTCCTGAAAGAACAATTACTAAAAGTTTCAGGAGTGATAGGGAGAGACAGGTTCTCTTTTAGGCTCAGGAAAATCAGGTTTGGAACTTAGAAGTGGGGGAGAGCAAACCTGCGAAGGACAGGTGACACCCTGGCAAGGGAAGGAAAGCCCAAGGAGACTGGGGAAGGAGATGTGGGAAGAGGCAAAGCAGCTGGGGTGGCCTCTGGTCCCTGATCTGCTGGAAAATGAAGAGCTGGGTAATGAGGCATTGTTTGGGGAGAAGAAATAGCTGGGTATGCACAACAGGTCTGTGATGCATTTGGGTATTTATTTCAGGTTTTCATTTTTTCTTTTCTTCGGCTCATTCTATATGGAAATCACCAAAGGATGCAAAGTGGGTTCTTATATGTATTGTACCTCTGTGCCAGGTTCACTATAATATATACTCAGGTAACACCCAGAAATAGCCTAAAGACTGGAAGAGACTCTGTCCAAACACAGCATACACAGCCTGCTTACTAAATAGGAAAGCCAGAAAGCAGAGAAAATCTAATTCTCTGAACAACCCAGCAGACAGTCCAATATTTGTAAGCATCCACTGAAAGGAGTTCAAAGAAGAAATAGAAATATTAGAAACAAACGTAGAGCCAGATAGGGTGACATAAGTGAGATATAAAAGAGTGGAAAACATTGAAGACCAAGATGAATATATTCTAATGCAGCAAAGAGATACAGGACACAATATAAATGTTGACAAGGCAATTAGATCAAGCTATGGCACAAAAAAAAATCTTGATCAAATGGGGACATAGCTTGCCTAACCTAAAATTGATGTTTCTTTCCACACCCAAGATAGCTGCCTTCACTGGTTTGCCAATAGACCAGATGAGGCAGTTTCATGTGTGTGCTAAGACAGTCACACCCTGGTAAGTAAACAAATGGTGATATCAATAAAAGACATGAGCAGTCTGTTTCCAACTCTTCACAGGGCATTGTTTAAGCTCCATAAAGAGCCTGGTCATCAGGGGTGATTATTACCCAGGCCATTCCTGATGGATGGAGAGAAAGAGGAAGAGGGAAGGAGGAAAAGGGAAGGGAAGGGGAGGACAGGGGAAAGGAGGAAGGGTAAGAGCTAGAGAGAGCAAAGGAGAAAGCTATACAAATGAGACTTCAAACCAAATAAATATTGGCTGGAGCCACCCCCATCTTTACAAATAACTTTGCGTTTTCTTCAAAATACTAAATTGCATGACCTCCAATGATAATGCAATAAGATTCTTAATAAAAACAAAGATTTTTTGCTTTCTCTCTTATTCAGAGAACTGAGGAACAATCTAGCAGCCCATGCCCTTAGGTTTCATGAAGTTATTTTCCCTTTGTTTATCTCATTTTCAAGAACAATTGTCCATCCACATCATTGCCTTTCTCTTTATCTTCCTTTAAAATTGACTTTTAAACAAAAACACAGGTCTTTGTCACAAAAAAATGGAAAAACATCCAAAGCCAGAAGCTCCTGTTTATTATTTCCTTGCACCGCTAGGCAAAATAGAATTTTCATGTTTTCCCCCGAAATTTGTATCCTGCACAGTCTGCATTTTGAATGGGGCCACAGTGGATTTCACAGCTCAGCTCCACACGCCTCCTGAGAATGCAGGGTCAGAGCGTCAGAGCGCCGTCCCTGCAGGCTCCTTTGCTGGAAGGGAAGGACCTGGAGGGTCTCTCACCCCAGCTGGCCTTGGTAGAATGGGGAGGGGAAGAGGCTTCTGCAGAGTATCCCTGGAGCTGTGTTTACCACCTTCCTTTTCTCACTGGCCTTATCCACCCTGCTCCAGCAAGAAACTAAGACAATTAGGCAACTAAGCAATTAGACTTTGCCAGTTATAATTAAAGAGATTTCCAGCATTCTTAGGCAACATTAAATTTGTAAATAAGATAGTGATCACCAGGAAATTGACCCATCTGCTATGGTTTGAATGTTCCCTCCCAAATTTATGCTAGAACTTAATCCCCAATGTGGCGTTATTGAGAGGTGAGGACTTTTAAAGGTGATTGGAGAGATTAATCCATTCATGGGTTACTGGGTCCACGGATTAATGAGTTATCATGGGAGGAGAACTGGTGGCTTTATAAGAAGAAAAGAGACCTGAGCTAGGATGTTGGGACACTCAGAACTCTTGAAACTCTTCAGAAAAATGCCGCCAACAAGAAGGCTCTCACCAGATGTGGGCCTTTTACCTTGGACTTCTCGGCCTCCATAACTGTAAGACATAAATTCCTTTTCTTCACAAATTACCCAGTTTCAGGTATTCTGTTATAAGCAATAGCAAATGGATGAATACAGAACATGATAGCTTTCTGTGTGATTTTATTCTAGTAATTGAATCATCATTCTTAGTGTCCTTCTACCCTAGTCCCCACTCCCAACCAGAATGACAAGTATCAAGACAAAGGGAACTCCGGAATTGTTACCCTTGCCTGCCTGCTTTCTGGCAACGCAGTGCTTCCTCTCTAGAGGAAAGCAGGCAGAACAAACTGACAGGAGGATGGCAGAGAGTCCACAGAGCAAAAATCCTTACCAAAAACCTTGACCCTGGTAGAGCTCTTCAAGATTTTGCCATGCCTGTCTCTGACGTGGCAAGAGAACGTCTTTCCGTCATCAAGGATTTGGACTGGAGAGAGGCAGAGTCCGTAGTTTGCACCTAGCTCGACTCTGTCTTTGAACAGTGTGGAATTGCTGATGAGATGATCTTGGGTGAGAAGTGTTTCCTGAGTTCCATTATTCTCCTGGAGAGAAAAATTGTTACCAGTTACTAAGCACTCAACTGTCAGATTCTGGATTAGATATTTCACAAGCATTAATTCTTTTATTTTTTACAAAATAGAGAGGAAGAATGAAGAATTGAAATTAAGAGATATTTTAGCATATTACTAGAGAAAGTATCATTACACTTGACTTTAAAAACTATTGGCAACCTCTTTTAACACAAATGAAAATTTGCTGCTTTTCTAACTAGATCTTACCTTTTATAATCTTCTGCAAACTGCATATCTAGGGTAGGATTTGAGGAATTAAATGGGAGGGGGTGGGGGTCAGGGCAGATCCTAATTCTCATTTAGGAAGTTCTGACATCTTACTGCTAAGATGCACTGAGGAGACTGTTCTAGTTGTATTTATCAAATCTCCACCTGAACTGAATGATTACAGTCATCCTGGATCTCTTTAGAAAAACTCTCATTTCAGTCTCTCTTAGAGCCTGGAGTAGGATCAGGTAAAAAGGCACAAAATTTAAGGAGGCACTCATTTTGGGGGTCTTGCAAGTGAAGGGTCCACGTTTGAGAGTGAGTACTTCCTTAAATTTTGTGCCCTGGGCACCTCCTTGCCTAGCAGTGTTCCTAGTCCTGTGTCCTTATTCTGATGTTTGTGCTAGCTTCAAAGGGGATGTATGAAGGGTAGGCTGCAAATATGAATCTGAATTTTAGAGATCAGAGCTTATTTGAAACACTTGGTTCCTCTATTCCATATCCTTTCTTGGATCTGTGAAGAAAAGCCCCATTATCCGTTCCTACCCATAATTTCCTTGGACAAGCTCCCTGGGGTGCCACAGTGTTGGTCAGTGTCAGTGCACTGTGCCCTAAGGCTGGTGAGGAGGGGATTCTTGAAGGGCAGAAGGGTAGAGGAAGGTTAGGTCCTCAGACCCCATTAGTGTAACTCAGTATTCTAAATCAAGCTGCTTTGCAAACACTCCGATGCACAAGCTCCTTCTCTAGATCTGGGGTAAGGCCCAGGCTGGGGCTTTTTTTAAAAAAGGGGAGCCAGGGCTGAGAACCACTGGCCCAATTTGAAACAACAGATGAATCATCGTGCACAGGTATCAGGGGGAAATGGAGGGAACTAAAATGGAGAAGGGTGAACAAGAATACATTTAACTGGAAAAAGTCATAAAATAATGAAAGTAAAGATCTGTGACCTGGAATCTCTAGTTTTAAAAATTAGTCAGATTTAGGGTGGAAGAAATGGAAGCCAGGTGAGTGAGTGAATTTAAATATGGGCAGAAACTGTGGAAACACGAAGGCGAGCTTCTTAAATGGTTTAATTATATAGATAATTCCAGAATATACTTAGTAGCAATGCTTATGTAAGACACTACTCTTCAGCAGAATCTGACTAGGATTTGTATTAGCCTTATATACAGATAGTATTGTAGCCTACAACAAATCACACCCTGCAAAGTCTTACCCCTGACTTTCCTTTATTCTTTCTTAAAGAAGAACCTAAGTGTCTGAGCTGCTGTCTTCCTAATGAGGAAGAGTACTGGAAAACCACAGGAAGAAAGATTGTATCTCAAGATACAATACCCCTCCGGGGTTCCCAGAGGAGCCCTAAGTATTGGTTGGTGACAGCGGAAGGCAGTGGAAGGCATGTCCCTCAGCGGCTCATCTGGAGGTCAATACATAAGGAAGCAGGCGCCCCCTGCAGGTCTTTTGGCACAATAAGGTATATTTGACAGCCTCTTGCCTTAGGCGTGCAGAATATTTTTGGGATGATTTTGGAGTTTAAAATGCTTCTTGATCATTTAGTATACTCCGTGACATTTGAAAAATTTCTATCTGTCAATTTGTTTTTGGAATAAGGGCAGTCACATGCTGAATTTAGAGACTGGTGAGAAAAGCCACTTTTTTCTTTATTATGTAGCAGGGTATGTGACTGGCCAAGGTGGTTTAATTGATAGAGAAAAGATGCAAAACAAACAAACAAGCAAAACAACAACAACAACAAAAAAAACAAAAACAAAAACAAAAAAAACCACCCCAGCTTATTCAAAGAAAAGATTTGTTTTTCTGGGCAGTTGAATTTTGCAGAGAGAGAAATTTGTTCCTTTACTGGGAAAGATAGGATTCAGTTGCAAAGAATGCCTTGTAACCTACAAGATAAGGAGATCCTGAGAGATTCTAGAGCCCGCATTTATAAAGGGGGCCATGGCAAGAACCTGCGTGTGAGTGGCTGTCTTCATGGAGCAAATGGGAGGAAAGAGGGAAAACACTAGCACAGGGAAACAATGAGACACCTAGGGCCGGGAGAGGGAGAAAGCATACTAATATTATGCTGTGACCACTATTAACATTTTCTATCCTTATTAGTCATAGCTTAAATTTATTTAGCACCTGCTATGTTCTAGGCACTATGCAAAGTTCTTTCAAGTATTATCCTATTTACTCCTTACAACTATCTGGAATAAATTGAGGTTAAATAACTTGCTCAAAGGTTACACAAAGCAAGAAAGGATTAAGTCACAGCATCAAACAGCAAGAATGCCCAGAACCAGGGACAAATAAGCCTCAGAGACAACATGTACTACTCAAAGACTACCATAAAAAATTTAAAAACAATGTTCTGGAGTATCTGGAATGAGAAATTTAAAAGAAATGTCAGAAAGCCAGAAGCCTTTATATACATTGTAGCTTTCAGGGGTGTGGGCAATTTGCTGATTGAAAGGGTCCTTTTATGGTATACTGACCCACCTTTGGTGACAGATGTTGTGAAGCATACCTCAACTTCTATCTGACAGGAGTGATCTTAAGTAACCTGGTCTGCAGGAAACAGACTGGTAGGGGTTCTTGTTCAGAGCCTTTATTTCTACCTGTTTTTATTTTCTTTTTCTGTTACTCAAAGAAAAAAATAATTGTCCACTTTTTAAAATGTTAGTAAGCATTTCTAAAACTTTATGGATTCAAACCTTGCTAGATATTTACCTTTTAATGAGGAATGTAGATTTAACTAGCTAACATATATGATACACCTGTTCTAGTCCTGGTGCTTAATAGATGTTCATTAATACAAGCTCACTATCCTCCAGTCTTACCTTTGATCAAGCTGCTATTTCATAAGTATTCACCATGTGCCTGGCTAAGTTGAGAAATTATGGAGATTCATTGCTATGGTTTGAATGTCTGTGTCCCCTCCAAAACTCATGTTGAAACTTAATCCCCAATGCAAGAGTATTGAGAAGTGGGACCCAATGGGAAGTGTTTAGGTTAAGAGGGCTCTGCCCTCATAAATGGATTAATGCCACTATAAAAAGGGCTTGTGGAACTGGGTTCTCTCTCTTCTACTCTTCTGCTGTATGAGGACAGAATGTTCTCCCTCTCTGGAGGATGCAGCATTCAAGATGCCATCTTGGAAGCAGATTGATCAAGCTCTAACCTGCTGGTGCCTTGATTTTGGACTTTCCAGCCTCCAGAACTTTGAGAGAGTAAACGTCTGTTCTCCATAAATTATCTGGTCTCAGGTATTCTGTTATATATAGCAGCACAAAATGGACTGAGACAGTCATAAAGCCATGAATTGTGCAATCTGTTCTCCTGCCACTGTCAGCACTTATATCACCCTTGGGGAACATCATGGCCATGAAGCCCAGGAACCACAGGCTGACTGGAAAATACTGTTTCCTGAACAATATAAATATATTAAGGTCTCAACACAAACAACAGCCTGCTTTTATTTACAATTTTGATATTGTGTTCATCATGAATTTTTCCTAGCTTTTGATTTTTAAAAATATTGCATTAAAATATTTATCTTGATTACTGATATTTTGTGCTTCCTTTAAATTTTGCTCTCAAATTTGAAAGCCTTACTCAACTCACCCTAACCCTAGTTCTCAGGTCATGCGGCTAGTGGTAGAGCCAGGACTTGAAAACAACAATTTCCCCCCAACAGTCATGCTGTTAACGACTTTGCTGCATACGGCCTCACGAAAGCAGTAGAAGGCACAGCCCTTAGCCTTTTCTGCTTACAGGCTACTTGAGGAAAAGAATAAATTTGTAAGAAAAACAAATACAAAACCCAGGCCCATAAAAAAATTAAACTATGTATAAGAGTTTGATAAAATAATTAGTATGATGAGGGCTGTGTAGGGTCACAAAGAATCATGAAAAACTGCTATGATATGCCCTTTAAAGACCTGGAAAATCCTAAAATAATTTGTTGAAGCTTTTTTGTTTTTGTACTAGAATCAGAATTTTTAATCCAGAAGAGGCACCCTGGTACGACAGATTGAGTATTCCTTGTCTACGGGAGAAGAAGTGTTTCAGATTTTGTATTTTTTTTAAATTTTGGAGTATTTGCATTATACTTACTGGTTGAGCATCCCAAATCTGAACGTCCAAAATCTGAAATGCTCCAATGAGCATGTTGGTGCTCAAAAAGTTTCAGATTTTGGAGCATTTCAAATTTTGGATATTCAGATTTGGGATGCTCAACCAATTTGATTTAATGATGCGATCTCATCTCCGTGTTGGCCTGAGCTCCTTGGAGCCAGCTCCATGCCAGAGCAGGCTGCGTTGACCACAGCATGTGGCAGGTGCTGAGTGGTACAGAGCTCATTCGATAGCGGCTGTTAGCTGTATCGATTGCTGCTTCTTTATCTCCACACCGTTTCCTGTGTTCACATTTCCCCCATTTATTCTCCATCCAGTCAGTGCTGTCAGAGCAGGCTGCTTGCAAAGCTCCTCATGTCCATTTTCTAGAGTACCAGAACAATATTTTTCTAATCATTGCTCTTGGTTGTCAACATTTTGCAGTTTGGCTAGCACTTTGCTTTTGATTAAAGTAAAGACAATTAGGATCAGTTGCCATCAGGAAAAGAAGTTACAGTTTTGTTTTCTGAATATTGAGGTATCCCATAAGTGTGAGAAGCCAACGCTGTTTATAGTCCCATTTTACCTTTTAATTATAAAATAGCATAAATATTAAGAAAGAACATATTGAGGATACATTTGTAGATAAAAATTTTAAGAAATATAAGCATTAGAATTTAGTGATGTGCCTTTGTTAGTAATATTGAACTGTTTGAATTTGAAATATGCTTGTCTTTCTCTTCATGATTTTAAAGAGAAAAATTGTGGATTTCTTTATTTGACTTTGGGGATAAATATTTCCCATCTGCACTACTAACTTGTACTTACAGGTCCCAGGGTCTTGATGTGGTATATGTCTGTCTTTTGCCAGCCAACTGTCTTTAATTATCCAGCTCAAACATAACCTTTTCTAAGAAGCTTTCCCAGGCCCATCTAGTCAGAATCAAACTATTTTCCCACCATGCTGCCATTTTTTACATTTTTATTAAAGGTGTATGTCATGGTAGGAAATATGTAACCCTGCAGGACTTTGCACTCAAAGCAGATTCACCTATGTTTATTGGATTGATTTGAAATTTATACTGTGGGAAATTGAGATGATAGTTTGGTATGAAAACAGAATATTAGAGTGTATTTAGAAGCTTCCAGAAGAAGCCTGTAGAATTTCTGTGATAACTGTATGTTTGTGTCCTACTGCATAAAATGGGAAAAATATGACTTTTGCCCTTGTCTATCAACTGCATCCCATCTAAACATTCATAGTCTATGATTTCTTATATATCATCATCTCACGATTTACATAGACCGTTAGTTTCTATTAAAAGGTTAATCCTTTGTGTTTACTTAGTTCCCCCTCATACCAGAACAATGTTAGATTCACTGTCTACTTGTGCCTGATGCTTGTCTACCTTTGTGCAGTCACAATCCGGAAATGTAACTTCCCAAAACACAAAGTATCTGTCCCACTAACACATTTAACACGGCCTTAGCATGGGATCAGGTACGTATAGCAAATGAGTTTATTTTATGAGATTGAGAATCCCAACAAAAACCTTTCCCATGAGGGTCCTAACTGAATTAATGAGATTTTATAAAACTTCACATATAGGAAGACATGACTTTTTTTTTTCCAGTGACCTTGATAATTTTAGTTTGTAAAATTGTTTCCAGGCTTTCCTGAAGCACTAAGGGCAGACAACTTGAAGCTTCCTGGAGCTACCAAGTTTGATATACAGATTTCTACCCTTCTGAGCTCATCTTCATCATCTTTACTTTTTAACCTCTTTCTAAAAGCTACATTATAACATGTTGGTAAGGACAGTTGGCTTATAATTATGATTATTACTGTAAGTTTAACAAGAGATTAAAGACCGAAAATATGGACTGGAGAAAATATTTATATCCTCTGCAGAAAAGACATTCAAGGGTTTCATATCAGACTTGCTGAATCCCACTGCCATCAACAGTGTCGGGCCGGATGTAAATCAGAGGAGCAAATAGATTTTGACATTTAAAAAGGGAATGCACAGTTGGAATTTAATCAGCACATTTGCCACATTTCAACTTTCTTTTGAAAGAAAGGATACTTTCAAAGAGATTCCTCAAGTTGTCTATATCATGATGCATTCCTTAAAGTGTTTGCGTGGCTTGATGTTTTAGTAGATATTTAGGGCTCACACTCTCACTGTGTGATCTTACATGCACTCTTTCTGGCTCTCATTTATCCTAAATGTCCCAGCAGGATCCAAAGATAATGCCTATATAGCCTTCTTGGTGTCTTTGAAGGAAACTACTTTATAAAGGATGCCTTATCAGTTATCTGGTCTTTGATCCATAATGACCTGACATTCATTAATCAATCAAACAGCTTGAATTTAGCGACCATCAGTTTAACATGAGGACAATAAATAAGACAGTGGGGCAAAGGGGACAGACAAACAAATTCATTAGATCACTTATTAAGTATTTATGCGTGCCTATGTTCTAGGCTCTATACTTGATGCTAGAGAGTTTTGAAGTGAATGGTCAGCCTTTTTGCCCTGGAGAAGCTCAAATGTCACATAAAAGGCACAGACTGAGTGAAGGCTTTACATTTGCTTGGAAAAACAGATTGCACACCTGTGAGATAAGAACACTATAGATTGATTTACCTGACAGCCAAAATCTCTACAGTAAAGCTTTAGTAAACCAATTCCCATTGATAGTGAATGTGTGATCATTACAATGGGAGCTTTTTGCCCTATTGGTGAAAAATATTAATAATGTAAGCAAGATATAAGCAATGCATTTTCATTACTGTAATGTTTAGTATAGTACGTTTCTGCCCTTCTGAGATCACTTTCACTTTTTAACCTTTTTCTAAGAACTACATTGCATCATGTTTGTTAAGAATAATTGATTTACACTAATGGTAGGCATGATGCCAAGGAAGCTTTTCTCTTTGGAAACCAAATCCTTTAAAAGGAAAAATATATTTTGTGACAGATGACAAAGAGTTATTGTAGATGTCAGAACAATTTGGGAAATTTGTTTTAGAATATGTTTTTCTTTTCATATTACTGACTATCCAAAAAAATTTAGACAATGAAAAATTATCAATAGATTGCATTTTAAGGTCTTCATGGAATACAGTTATTTTGGATTTGGCACACCCCCAGAAAAATCTTTTTATGTGTAGGGTCTAGTTTCTAGGACAGCCCACAAAAACCTAGGTAACTTGGAATGTGAATAATCAGTCATGTGAATTATATTTTCCAAATTGTGTCAGCTGTTACATTAATGGGGATTTATGAGTTTTGTAAGAATTTTAAAATCCTATGCTTTGCATTTTGATGACAACCTGAAAAATTAATATACAGTAATCATATTTGGGATCACCTAAATAAATACCCTGTTATGTGATTCTTGAAATCATTTTATGGTTATATTTATAATTTTGTTAGTCTCTTGTTGCTATTTGATTTAACAGTGTTAGATTTCTATATGTGTTGGTTAATAGTTGTCTGCCATTTGATTATACACTGTTCTTTCATATTTCTTATTATGCTCATGTTGATTTTGTTTGCCTATTATGAGAAAAAACTGTGATAACTCCCATTTGAAAGATATATTAAATCACTAGATTTTAGTTTTTAAGATTACATTTAGATTTTTAAAATAAAATGACACAGTATTACAGAATAATGTTGCAGATTAGTGATAAAATAACAAAGGCAGACAGAGCAGGTAAATGATACATTCACATTAAGAGGCCAGCAAAATTAAATTATAGCCCTAAATAGAGGAAGTTTGCAATATTTCAAGTAGAGAAAAACGGTGGGAGAATTTAGTCATCACATAGGACATGGTAAACAACTAGTTAATTAATCATAACTATCAAAGTCAATACTCAGTGGAATTTTTTAAATTGATAATTTAAAAATATTAGTGTTATATTTTATAGTGCCCTAGTAATTTATTCCATCAAAATAATAGACCAGTACTTATTTTTGCCTACAAATTATTTTTAAAATTGGAAAATTTCTCAAAGATCTGGATTTCGGGCTTTTTTTTTTTTTTTTTTGCAAGTTTGGAGGCAGGGCAATTACGGGCATGCAGCCCCCTGCGGCATTAATAGAGCTGAGTAGTGACTGTTTCTTACACAAGTCCTGATTTCCTGCACATTTTCTGCTTGTATTATAGAAGCATTAGAGTTTGTGTTTCCTGATCTAAAGCAATGTTGAATGTTTCCCAGGATGCAGTAATAAGAGTTCTGTGGGGGAAAAAAACCCAAAACATATCTCTGCACATGTTTTTTTAAAACAAATATTTATGAGTAGGGACTTCTACTGGATGTGGCTCCTCTCCAGGGCACCTTCACGCTTTGTCCTCTCTGCAGTCATCGTTTAGTATATAGACAGATATAGACGCTAACCTTTAGGAGCTAATTTTTAAATTAACCCACTGCATTCATAGACCCTGAGGCTTGCCTGGTTAGAAAGAATCTGAGAGTGTCTTTTCCTTCCTTTCCTATCCCTCCCCCAACCACTGGCATAATGCCTGCCTCTCATCAAGTATGCTTCCTTCCTATTATTACTTGCTATTCATTTTACTTCGTTCATATTTACAGATCATTGCAGTTATTCACTGAAAAAGGCAACACTTACCACCAACCATGCAAAGGTGAACTCAGATGAAATTTCTGAGGAGATATTTTGAAAGCATGGTATTTTCAGAGTCTCATTTATTTCTATTTCTATTGTATGGTTGCTTCTCCATTCATCTTGTGTACCTGTAACAAACATAAGATTGAAAATACATGGATATTTGATTGGTTTATAAAGTGCTTTTTATAGAAGAGATAAGAACCATTTTCTTCTTTTTTATTTTTCTTTTCTTTTCTATTTTTTTTTTTTTTTTTGAGACAAAGTCTCACTCTGTTGCCCTGACTAGAGTGCCATGGCATCAGCCTAGCTCACAGCAACCTCAAAATCCTGGGCTCAAGCAATCCTCCTGCCTCAGCCTTCCAAGTATCTAGGACTACAGACATGTACCATCATTTATATTTATATATAAATATATAAATTTTTATATATTTAGTAGAGACGGAGTCTAGCTCTTGCTCAGGCTGGTCTTGAACTCCTGACCTCAAGTGATCCTCCTGCCTTGGCCTCCCAGAGTGCTAGGGTTATGGGTGTGAGCCACCACACCCAGCAAGAACAGTTTTAGTACAGAGATTCATCTATCCTCAGGGTAACTATGAAGCAAGAGGCAAAACCTAATGATAGTTTTCATTGTATAAATGGCTAAACTGAGCCACTGAAAAGCACAGATAGTTGCTTATCACTGAAAAATTATGGGAAACTTACCCTAACATAATCCAACTCATCATTTGGTATGTTCCTCTGCTTTAGCCCCAGATTGGTGCTTTAGTCTTTAGGTTGCATTTGCTTGATCAGATAGAACATAAAACTTTATAATGTGGCCTTTGTCTTTTTGAAAGTATTATTTTAATAGACTTTATTTTTTAGAGCAGTTTTAGGTTCACAGCAAACTTGAGAAGGAACTACAGAGAATGCCCAGTATATCCGTCCTTACCCAGTCACAGTGTCCCCACTGTCAACATCTCACGCTACAGTGGAACAATTGATGAACCTACATTGACACATCATCATAACCCAAAGTTCATAGTTTACATTAGGGTTGACCCTTAGTCTTGTACATTCTGTGGGTTTGGACAAATGTATAAGACTATGTACCCACCATAGTGATATTCAGAATAGCTTCACTGCCCTCAAAATCCTCTGTCCTCTGCCTAGTCATCCCTCCCTCCCCTCAACCCCTAGCAAACATTGATCTTTGTATCTAATGGTCTTTTTAGAGCTTATAAACATTCCTCAAAATAACAGATGACACAGAAAAATATATAAGGAAACTCTGAGGAAGCATTCTTAATGAATTGTTTTCATTTTAAAGGTGATATGAGATAAATATCTGTTTTAAAGTCCCTCTTTTGGAGAAAGTTATATACACACACATACACATTTGTGACTAAACTATATTAATATCAAAGGATAATTTATACATGATATAGCTGATGTAAACAGCCATATCATCCTAATACCCTAAAAATCTTTTATTCTTTTTTTCTATATCTATTCAATTCTTGTTTGTATGCATCTACTTGTTCTTATACTTTGCAATCCTATTTACCAATGAAAGTTATGTATATTGTTACTTTAAAATGTTTTATACGACTCTTGAACTATTTGTGGTCAAAATTTGTGGAGGCTTTATGTTATTCCATTATATATACACATCATCATTTGTTTAGTCATTTCCAATTATTGAATCATTATGCTTTTTCACCTTGGGTTTTTATTTTAATCTATTACATGATATATAGCAAGGATCATCCTTATGCTAATGGCTTTCTTCTGACCATTCAGCTACTTAAGATAAATTTTCAGAAGTATAATTAATTGATCATTGAGTATGAACATTATCATTCCTACCAACAGTACATATATATTTTAAAAATGGAATATTTTTCAGTTTAAGAATATTGTATCTAGCCTTTAGATCTTTGTTGTCAATCTCTCATCAATATCAGCTATTCTCTTTACTGATAATTCTTTCCTTCTCCTTTATTTAATTAAAACCAGATCTTCCCATTAGGGCACATCTTCCCTGAATCATTCTCAAATAGTGATTGTTTATTTTCTTGTCCCCTGAATTCCTCAAGCTCAGAAGGTGGGATCACTGCCTTTCTTTCTTTCCATTGCTGCTTTCAAATATTGCTTCAACCCCATGATTTAAGAAAAAGGGCCCCATCACTTATGGTTAAAGGCATTTAGCTATAACAGTATTTTCAAATGGAGTTATTTGTATACCATCATCATAAATTTTTTGCTGTATTTGCATGCCACCATTGCTACTACTTCATTTTATTTTTGAAATCATCGTAATTGTTTTACTTGCATAAATTTATTTTAAACATACTGATCTAGGCAATAATATCTGTGAAGTCCATGAAATCCATTCAGTATGTTAATTATATTTTAATGCACATTATCCAAATACACAAGTATTACATTTTTGTAAACTTTGTTCAGATTCGGGGAAGTTGGGAGTACAAGTGGCAATACTTTTCAAATATCCCTGAAAACTTCTATAAAAACAGACAGAGTAACTAAGGCAGAAGAACTAAAAACACATAGACAATATCTGTAAGAATACTAAATAATAATACATCCCCATTAATATGTGGGACAAACCACTAGACTACTGTGCTATCAGCGACTGTGCAGAAAGAAGCAAGAAGATCAACTGGCACTTAGAACTAAAGAACCCTGCTCCCAGGTAGTCACTGAAAAGACAGCAGACTAATCTGAGCATAGCAGCTGAAATGGAAAAGGGAACTTGCAGGCATGAAATCATCAGTGTTTTCAAGGGAAATAAGAAAAGGGTAGTCAGCACTGGAGTAGACGGGGCTTCTCAGGACTCACGCCACACTGAGAAGAAGCACCTAGAAGAAGAATCCGAATTAAACAAGGCAGGCCCAAGAGGAGAAATCAAAGAGGCAATTTAGATAAAAGTAAGGCATAGAAGCAAAAGGAAATACACTCAGAAAGTAAAATGGCAAATTACTTATCTTGAAAATAACAGAAGAGTGGGCCCTCGAGACAATGAACACTCTAGAGAAGCTAGCGTGGCCCGACATTCCATGATAAGAGTAAAAATGCATTTAATTTAAACATGAGCAACAGAAAAGAAATGAAGTAGAACAACCTGTAAAGATACTATAAGCAAAAAAGGAATGGAGAAGAAAATAACATTCCTACAACAATGATAGCCTAGTAACAAGACAGGACCACAAAATAAAAAGTACAGTCTAATTACTCAAAATGAGCCAAAAGAAATAAAGAAAATAACATAAATTGTGCAAAATTTTGGAAAGACTGGTAAATGAGTTCATTGGAAAAAAAGAAGACTTACAAAAGAGAGGTGGTAGAATTCAGGAAAGGGTTTGAAATAATTTTTTAACACATTAGCTGTCCTGTGAGTTGTATTTAACTCATGTTAGGATTGAGCCTGGGACCTCATGAAGGATATGTAACTCACATGTCTCAGGTGTCTCTTACAATTAATGTTGACAATTTAAATGTATATAACTCATGTATAGCAAACAATAAAAAATAACACATTTTTCATTAAATTAGAAAGAATCATTCTGTTTTCAAAGTTTTTATTTTATGTTAATAAAACACCATGGCCCCAAGGAAACAAAAATGTTTTTTTCTAGCAGGGCAATGTCTTAAAATTACTCCAGAAATGCAGACCAAGCTAGAACAAAACCAAAAATATGCAAACACAAAAGTTAATCAATTAAAAAAATAGAATGAGGGAAATAAAAACATTTATTTAAATAAATAGATAAATAAATAAATAATTTTAAAATAAAAGACAAGGAGATAAAAGAAAGCCAAAGAAAATTATATGCAAAGAAGACAAAAGTATATTTACAATAGAAGGCATTCAAGGAAAAAGTCGAACAAATGAAACAGAACAAATATTAAAACATAATTCAGAAAAATTTCTTAAATAAAAATCACTAGAACATATATAGTAAAAGATTATACTGCAAAAGTAGGAAAATAGACTGAGAATGGGCAACATTAAGCATACTCTTCTGAAAGTATTGAACAAAGCCAACTATGTGGAAAGAAAATTGGATTACCATGCTTTCTCATGGCAATTCTATACAAGAAAATAATGGAATAACATATTTAATATAATCAAGGAAAGAAAATGTAAGCCAAGGATTTTATATTCAGCAAAATTAACCTTTTCATATAAATATTACAGGAAAATGTTAGGGCCATGCAAGAACTCAGAAAATATTGCTTTCAGGAGCACTTCCTGAGGATTCTCCAATAGAATATACTTCAGACTAGAGATTACATTTACATAAAGACTGTTGGTAAGTATTGATTATGTATTTACATTTAACACAACAACACATGATTGCTATAAGTAAAGGAATAGTAATAAATGTGTTTTAAAATAAAGATACAATGTAAGTATCAAAATGTGGGGGGTAGAATAGAGGGGCTTCTGGTTATTGGAGCATGTAGAGGTCATGAAAAAAGATAAGTATAAAACTAGGCATCGTGTTCCTCCTTTCCAGAGGGTACAGCAGAAAGGCCTTCACCAGATGTCAGTGCTTTGATCTGGGACTTCCTAACATCCAGAACTGTGAGAAAATAAATTTCTGTTCTTTATAAATTACCCAATCTATGGTGTTCTGTTATAGTAGCACAAAATGAACTAAGACAGTGGCAGAGCAGACAGACATTTAACATGTAGACTGCAGAAATCAGAGAGTCATATAATGAATGAGATAAGTTCTTCCCTCACTGTGGTCTGACTGGGAAACTATAAACACAGTGGAGGAGACCTGAGAGAGCCTAGCAAAAAGTATACTCCAAGGGAGTGTGGATAACTGGCTGGAACTTTGAATGCATTTCCTAACCCACATGCAAATCCATGTGTAGAGGATGGAAGCCTAATTTAAACACAACTTTTGCCAAAATCATAGGCTGACTAATAAAGGGGCTTTGCCAATGCAGGGGCAACTCCAAATTAAAAAATAAGAATTATTATTAAAAACTGAACAGAGATATCAATGGCCACACATTGCAAAGGAGATATACTTAGCAATTTAAGTACAGGTAAGTTACTAAAATTAAAAAAACAAAAACACAGACTGAAAAAAAGTCAAAATATAGA